AACTATTAATCCTAGAAATGCGATTTTATTACCATTAGATTCGTCTTGCTGAGACGATTCCAATGAGCTATATTTCATCCTTTTCTGATCACTGGATCAAAAGTTAGCAAACTGCCTAATTGGTGACGGTATTTGGCGAAAATGCCAATCAGGCACCAATCGGTCACCAATCAGTCACCAATCAGCTACTTAATTGGTGACCGATTGGTACCTGATTTTTCACTTTTTGACCTGTGTTCAAAGCTGATACCTACAAAAATGGAAAATGAACATTACTAATGATTCTATATTAAAATGTAAATAAAACTCTAGAAAAGGTATATTAATTCGTTTTATTACCAATTTCACTTTTTATTTTTTGTTTTCGTTTAATTTTATTTTTTTTTATTATTTAGGTTTCAGCTGCCTGGATTTAGACTTTAGTAGTGGCTTATAGAGTTATGATAAGTCTTTCTAGTTTAAATTTATTTCGCTATTTTTTATATTTTTTTTATTATTTAGTAACTAATTTTTTTTGTTATTTAGGTTTTATTTATTGGTTTGAATGGTAATTATGAGTTTTAAAATCTAAAAAGCCAAAAAGGTATTATAGCAAACAAAAAGTGTTATTACTTTATCAGAGTGTACTATGAAAATGTCGGTATTGAGGGAGAAGGTTAGTGATACCTGGCTAAACTCTTTTTGCCAAAAATTTCGGTTTTGTCACCAACTACCGTATATATATAGCGGGCCACAGTACCCCGGGTATCTTGCAAAAATCGGGGGTTTGACCCTGTACCCCCGGGTACTAAACAAAGTCTAAAAATTCCGTTTTTTTGCAAATATTTCACGATCTACCAGTCCAATTTGAACAATCTTTTTTTATTTTGAAGAGCTCAATGAGAGCTATCAAACAAAAAAAGATGGCTCAAATCTGATCACTAGATCACGAGATAATTGTAAAATATCCCCCCGGGTACTATACAATTTTATGAAATTTTTCAAGGGGGTACTATGCATAGGGGGGGTACTATGGCCCGCGATATACGGTAGTTTCGGTTTCATCATTGACTAAACTATATAGTAATATTTTTTAAGTTTAAATTTTAATTATATAAAATTATAATTTTATTATAAAAATATATTAAATTATATTATACATAAAACAGTTTTATAAATTCCTTTAAAAAGTATTATATTTTAATATAAATCTATTATTTTTTTTTTTATAAGTAATTATTATAATTAAAAATCCATGGAAATCTATAAAAAATCCATGGAAATACTATGGAATATTGAATTTCGGCATTTCATCTTTTAATTTTAAATGTCTAAACTATTTCGGTTTAGTCAAATGACTAAATATTTCGGTTTCGCCTAGGATCTCTAGAGAAGGTAGATAGTTATTTACACTCAAACTCTGGTATTACTTTTTTTTTTATAAAGTTTATCAAAAAAGAAAAGATTGGCAATCAGATCTTTTAAAAAAAGAGGATAAACTTTTTTTCAAAATTTGTAACGGATAAATGCACTTATAATTTAGGTTTTTTTTTTAAGATCAAAAAAATTTTTTTTTTGGTTTTTATGATAAACCAAGTTTTATTCTATATAATTGGTAATTTATTTAGTCTCGTTTTTATATAAATTACTTTTCCTTCAATAAATAGTTAAGAAGTTGTAGTAATGTAAAGTTTTTAAAATAAATAATTATTGGAACTATGTTCTCAGTAAGGAACCAATTTTATATAGTTTTTTTTAAAGAAATAGTTAGTCATACTAAATTATTAACTACTTATTATTTTATAGGAACGGAACATAGGCTATTGGACACTTAGCTTTGAATATGGAACTATGGAAAGTATAATGGTTGGAATTAGGGGCAAGGGAGTGCAGTAATTTTTTATAGAAAAAATACTAATTGGGACATAAACACAGTTTTAGGACTTGTAAACTTCGGATTTAAAATATAGTAGAAGGTATGTTGGTTAAAATTTAGAAGTGGAAGAATGTAATCTATTTTCTTTGTTTTTTTTATAAATATTAACCATTTTTTCTTTTATTTTTTAGGACGTGTATTTATTAGAAGTCTGGAACACCAGTTTTGGATGTCTGAAGTTCCAGATTTTAGACATGGAAAGTGGGTTGAAATTAGACTAAATTGAAAATTTAGGGTATTAGTAGAATGTTACTAATGTTCTTTCTTATAGTATATAGGAAGTTCAAACTGCAAATAAATATAGTTTACATTAATTTAATTTAATTAAACATATAAGAATGCCAGGTTGTCTATAACTTATAATTAAAACATACATTTATAACTAAATAATTTTAAACAAAAAAGAAATAGGGTTTTCATCTTATTGCACCAAAGTGTGAACATTTCTAACTTTTTATATATCAAATATAAATTCAGAGAGATTTTTTTTTATGTTTATTGTTAAATATCGTTAAAAATCTATAATAAAAAAAGAAATGTGAATTTCATATTGATTTTAAAATAATGTTATAATGGTGAAGATTCCTTAAAGGCTTTTTTTCAGAAATCCTTAAGAATCTGGTAATTTATAGAATCCTTAAGGATCTTTAAAGATTTTTAAGGATTCTATAAATTACTGGATCCCTAAGGATTCCAAGACAATTTAAGGAATCCTTATGGATCCACATAGTATCTACATCCCAAAAAAATTACTGATGTTGAAATATGATAATTATTACTTAAAAGTTAGACCATTATAAATTACTTAATTTTTAGACCCAACTATTTATAGTAAATCACACTAGTGTGTAATGAACATAGTTAAAAATCATTTTTATTGGATATTATATGTATTATGTAATTAATTGTAAATGATCAGCAATTATATTGACATATTATTTTAAAATGTAAAAAAAGGTTGCATAATAAAGTCATTTTATATCACAAAATAATTATACCTGAAAGTTTATGAAAAGATTAGCTTTGTCTTTACTATAATAATCCTTAAATAACTTTTTCTGATTCCATTTCAGTATAAACTTTACCTAATAGTAATGGTAAAGGTAAAATTTCATTAGAATAATGGTTTTTATGCTATATATGATTAGCAAATTTCTGGAGAAAAATATAGAAAACTGAACAAAAAATTTATTTACTAAAGCTGTAAAAAGTCCTGCTATTCAACAACTTACTTTTGAACTTAAATTTAATGGTCAATTGTGTTAGCTTCATTATAATAATTTTGTTGTTTATAACTGAGAATAGAATAGCTAAAACATGAAACAAAAGAAAAAATTCAGATTTATCATATTATCCAGAAGATACAAAGTGAGTTTCTTTATTATAAAAACTCAAAAAGCATATAATAAACTTATATATTAAATAGAAGACTTGGAACTTCAATTAAATCAGATGGAAAAAGCAAAAGAACTGGGTAATTTTACTTTTTCTTAAATCCAAATTGATCTAATTTTTATTTAATACAGTATTATTGATTAATTTAAATTAGGATTGAAAGTTTTTTTCAGATTAAATTGGACAGATTATCACAAATATTTTATATAGATATTTTTGTGAAAAAAATTTGCCTGTATGGAATGCGATGGAATTTGAAAAATTGATTGAGAATTATAATGTACAAATTAAAGGATTTTTTAATATGATTTTTCAATCCATGAATTCCCAAAGCAAAAATTTACAAACATGACTATTATTAAAGCAAAAAATAATGCTTTGTTATCAAATTGCAGCAATGCGAAATAAATAAGTTAGTGGTACCAAAACAGCAATTGGATTATTTTTAATTAATTCAAGTGCATCAGTAACTTGTATAAATACTTTGCAAATATGGGAATTTTTTAACATATCAAACTAATAAACTAGAAAATATTGCAAATAATCATCAGCTTAGCATTCAAAAATATATACATAGACAAGTAAGTTATTTTTTTGTATAGATGCTACTGATTGCTACTAAAATAATTATTATATATAATTTATTTAGCATAATAAACTTATAATAGGCTGTATTGATGATTATCATAATTTGCATAGTATAATAGTATACGAATTCCTTCTGTAAAATCTAAAGATCAAATATCACATATGGCCACTATATTATTTAATACTAGCGAAGCATCACCAATCCCCTATTATACTTGTAACCATCTACCTATACATAATCCAAATGGTGTAGATGCACTTATTATTAAGACAGCACTTTGGTCCACACATCTTATTTCTTTTAGGCAAAAGTTATAATTTGGTTAAATCTAATTGGAATAACTATTGAGAAGGAGAATTAATGGAATCGTTAACTGTACATTCATATGATGCGGACTTATGGGAGATATGGCCGAAAATTTGATCAGACAAAACTTGTTGACTTACTAGAATTATCATTAAAAAATACCAATAATTATGTTGAAGCAATTCAGTCTTTTATTGAGTATGTAATTATGTAACTTATTTATAATTATAAATTACTCACAATAACTTTTTTTTTAAAGACTACCCGAAATAAAATCCTATTTAGAACAGTATATCATTCCTATTCCTGCAGATTTTCATGGACAATTATTTATTAGAAGAGCAATTGTTGGTGTTTTAAAATCTGATAATAATGCATCAATATCAAACAATATTGCACACCTAATTCCCTTTCTTGGTCCATTCCATGTTTCACTTAACAGTCGTGAATCACTCTTTCTTGTTTTTTGGTCATTTTTTAACCAGCTTTATTTAATAATTTTTGATGCTAAAAAAAAACTTGCAGCCAAGCAAAAACCTTGGAGAATTAATTTATCAATGTATCTAGCAAGTTCCGGATGGAAACTTATAAAGAATATTATAGTAGAAAGGTTTGGCAATACAAAAATTATTGGATATAGAACGTTTTTTGATTTACTTGATAACCTTATTCCAGCAACCCTGGATATCTATCTATACGGTTCTTTTTCGAAATAATAAATTTGATGAATATGTTGATACAATATTTCGTCTATGGTGTATGATGAGAAGATTCCAAAGATATAATTACGATAAAATTCTTCCTTTTTGTCTGATGTGTATTATTGGCAATCAATCAACCATCCCATCATCGAAACCTTAAAAAATAATTTAAATATGTTTGATGAGTATGTTATTGAAAATTTTCACAGTCTTTTACGAAGACATACCACAGCAAAGTTTCTTCAAGTAAATCCCTTAGATGTGATGCTCTATTTATTGATAATTTCAGAAATGAGAATTTATTTGCTACATCATTTGTGTCGAAAAGAAACTATCCATATAAAAAAAAAAGATTTAGATGAAATGATTAAAAGAACTGCTCTTTTTTTATTGAAATTTTTTGATGAGATCTGGAAAAATAATGGAAAAGTAGAAAAAAAATGGAGGAAAAAGAAACAAAAAACCTTATTATTAATTTACATCAATTCCTAGTTTTCCTTTAGGTGCTTTACCTCTTGGATACCATTCTCCTGTACCTCCAAATATGAAAAAGTTTGGTGATAAAAACTTTTGCAGAAATTCAACAAACAAAGAGGATGAAGTTTTGATATGTGGATATGCATATCATGAAGAATGTTTTCGGGTATTAGGTTTAAAGTGTGAACATTGCTATAAATACTTAGATAAATCTATTGATGAATTAACAAAATCATATAATCAGAGATTGCACTTAGAAGAAACTCAAATAGAATCGAATATTAATGAAGAAATGGATGAAGATAGTTGCAAGAGACTGATAGTTATAAATTAAAAGTTGAGACCGATTCTGAATTACAAAAAAGGATCTTGGGTAATGTTTAAAAACATTAAAAGTATTGTATTATAATAAATTTTTTACTAATAATTAATATTTTTAGAGTTTACGAATCAAACTCTCTTCGCAAATTCACGTCAAACATTACTAGATATTAATTTTCCGAACGTCTATTTTATGTACTTGTATTATCGTATTGTTGAAATTTTATTGGCCAGTGAATCGGAATCGGCATTAGTTTTTTTTTTATGATTATAAAAAATCGATGATGTCAAAAATAGGGCTTTTTCTGTACGTTGCCACCAAAGCCATTTCTACTGAAATTCTTTAAAAGCTCCTTCTAAGTAGAATTATTTCTTATTGCAAACTTTTGGTTTGTATATAATTTATTCGATATCTTATTTGATTTCATTTTTTACTATTAACTGAGGTATTTTATTATTTAGCTATTAACCGCCATAGTGCGGAGTTCACCCTTTCGGGTTTGCTGTAGAAATGGTTTTCATTGACGGTGTTAAATATGCTTGGTATATAATTTGATTTATTTTTTATTTATTTATTTATTTCTTACAAAATCATTTTTTGAGCTTATTTTGTTTTTTTTCCTCTCTAAAATAGTGCAACGTGCATTAAAGGTCATCGATCTACTGCTTGCCAGCACTCTGACCGTGCACTTTTTGTTATTAAAAGGAAAGGTCGACCTATAACTCAGTGTTCACATTGCCGCGAACTTCGTAAAACTCAAAAAATTCATGTGAAATGTAATTGTAACGAAAAGAAAAAGGAAGAATGTCGGTAATCTTTTTCTGATTTAATTTATTATTTTATTCATATATTAACCATATTAACCATGAATTACATATATTTTAATCAGCGAGTTTGTCGCAACCTCAAGCTGTTGCAGTTTTACCACAAGGAATTTCAGCTGATGACGAATATCGGCCCGCTTCAAGATCTAAGACTTCTGTGGAAGCATTGCTGAACCCATGTCAATGCTTAACTGGAGCAAAATGTATCTGCTGTCGTTTAGATTCATCCGATATGCTATATTCTAACCCGACATCAGACACATCTGTTAATAACAATGATTCATCTCATTTGCCCACATCAGCTCAAACTGCAATTTATACATTACCACCTATTTCTGCTAATCTAAACCAACATCAATATATTCACGGTTATGATAATAGTGCAAAAGGCAAAAGTGTCAACCCACAATTACGTTTCACGACTTCTTTGAATAATAATGGTGGAGGGTATTCAAAACATATTAATTCTTCTGTTGAAAAAGGTAGTAGTCCTTTTGCAAGTACTGCTCCATTAGAGTCAGGATATTCATATAATGATGAGGATGATACGGATTTTAAATCTTATGACCAAAGTGGAATTTTAGGTAAAGAAATTTGTCGTAGTACATCTACCGATTTAGCTAACAAAATTTATAGTTCATTTCAAAGTTGTTCTACAAATATGACTGATAGAAGTTGTTGTGGAGGTAATAATTCGCCAACAATGATGCCCATTTGTAGATGTGGTCCAGGTTGCAAATGTTCAGGCTGTGATACTCATGCAAAAAGAGTCAACGTTGAATATTCTTACAATAATTTATCATCGAATAGTTTGTCATCGAGTTGTTGCTCTTCTCATCATGAGATCACCCAGCCTGAACACAAGAAAATTAGGGATGAAGATGGTGTATTATTATGTGGTTGTGGTTGTCAAAAGTTAGATACTGAATGTGCGGATTGTTTAGAAAATTTGTGTGAAGGTATGTTAATTTTATATATAAAAAAAATTTTTTCTCCCTACAAACTAACTCGAATTTTTTTTTTTTTTTTTAAAAAAAAAAAAAAATTTGTTAAAGTAGGGACATTTTTTTTTATGAGATTCTCATTTATATGTAAGAGAAATTTATATTATAAAAATACCAAAAAAAAAGTTATATGCAGTATTATAATTATGTTAACAACAAATAAGTAATAGTTTAAGGTACATAAAATATTTAATATATCCATATATGTTTGTCTTAAAGAGAATCGTATTTATTAAAGAAAAAAAATAATTTAAAAGTTCCCCCAAAAAAAAGTTATCATCATGTGGTAATAATGAGGTTATTTAATTATTTTGAGGGATTTTTGCCGTCACACTTATTCATTTATGAGGGATTTTTGCCTGAAGTCCAGGAAAATGCAATAATTATGATTGCATAACATTTTTATTGATTTAATATTAGTTTGTATTCTTGTTATGGAATAGCATTGTGATTCAGTACCAGTACTTTGTCAATGAGATTATATTAGTATCAGCCATCTAATCTAAATTCACACGAACTTGCATGGTTATCATTTGTGATCCGCAAAAAAATATTTTATTCAAATTACAATATTTCAATATCTATTCTAATTTAATTCTTTTATTTTCTGCTTCTTGCAATTCTTCACTGTTTACCAAATGATTTTCACTTGTAACATTTTGGTCTAAACTTTCTATTTTTACAGTTTCGTCAATTGAATTATTGTTACAAAAATCAGATTTATTAAGCTCTTCCAAAGTATCTTTTTGTTTCATATAAGAAGGTATAGGAGTAGGAAGAGATTCATTAATTACTATATGAGTCGCGTGCAATAAATATCCTCCGCCTCCGCTTGTTGACATTGAAGGGTGAATCCTTCCAGGCAAAACCTAAAGGTTCAATAAAGAAGTCAACAGACATGATAATTTAATAATATACGGTATATGATAGATAATTACTTGATATTGACGCAACCAGCTCTCAGTAATTTGTGGATTCAAAAACTTTTTGGATATTTTCATATATACACACGCATTAATCAATACCTATAATATTATTTAAGATTTCAATCGAAATCACAAAAAAGCAAAAATAAATAAATAAATAAAATAATAAACTATTGTGGCATTTTATTAAACCTAACCTCTTTATTTATATGATAGATAATAATTGGTCTTGATCCGGATACATAAGGCATTAGTGTTTCTAAAATAGATTCAGGTTGGTATTGACTTGCTACTATCAATCTAAAGTTTAGTTGAGGTAAATCGTCAGTTATTTGTCATATTTAAATATAACAAAATGAATTCATTATATAATTACCCGTCAAATTCACCTCTCCATAAAATTTCTCTTGTATCTCTTATTCGTTCATAATTTACCTTCCTTCGAAGATAATATTTTAAATCTTTTTCCGATAAAGTTGATTCATCTTGATAATTAAAAGGAGCTGGAAAATAGTTTTAATTAATTTACCAATTTTGAAACAAATATTTCGGGATTAAGATATTTATTATTTCCTAACCTTGTATCTCCTCCTTGAATACCTGTTGCCAAGATAATGTCAATAATGAATCATGAATTTTTTTCGAAAAATTCATATATCTCACGATATCATAATTATGATTTTCACCGTCATGAATACCAAGTACTATACCATAACCTATGTAATTTGAATCGAGAATATCAGTATGTTTTTTAAATAAACGAAATAACTTTAAATAAACATACCTCCTAACCTTTCCATAACGCCTGTAATAACAAGTCCTTGCGTGTCATCCACCACAAGCATCTTTGTATATGCTCGTACATTTGCCAAAGATAATATCTGAGATAGTGTATCTATTCTCATATCCCTAATCATAATCAATCAAATGTTTATTAACTGAATTTTTTAATTACCAAATTTAGTTATTAAGATGTTAACCTTATTTTGCCAGGATTCTTGGAGAAAAAATATTCCCAAACAGAATATAATGTAGGGTTTATTGGTGTGAAAACTCGTGAAAATCTAAAAGTATAAGGTATTAGACCTCGTGAAAATGAATTTCCGAACGAGAATATTTCGTTACGATTTACTTTGCTTCCTTTCGTTTAATATATTTTGCTTTAGAATATTCGGTCTTTTGATCAAAGGCTGAATGACCTTCTACCATTTTTTTAATAATATCCTATCAAATATATATTATTATAGTAAGATAAATAACGAACAAAAATAATCATAAGTTGTAGGATAAATTTTTTCACCTGTCCTTCTAATCCCTGCTTTTTCAACTTCTCGATCTCTTGATAAGACAATTTTTGTTTAGACGGATCGTCCAATATTTCTTTGTTATTAGCATCCGTTTCATCTTATTAATATATTTATTAAAAAAATATAGTAAAAATGCGAAAATAATTTTCAAAGAGTCTTGTATTATCTTACCAACTTCATAGAATGCAACATTTTTAATAACTTTTACTTGATAATTATCATAAATTTCATAAGAATGTCCAAATGGTCGTCCTATTATACCGTTCGAATGAAAAGTCCCGAATTTTCCTAATGATACATTACTGTAATATTCACATTTAATAGAATTAATTGATTCTAAAAGTTTATCATAATAAACCAAAAAGAGGATACACACTCACGTATCCTTCTGAAGTTTAACAACTTTTATATTGCCACTTGGCAATTGTATAAATATATATTGGTTATCAAGAATCAAAGAAGTATCTTGTTCTTCACGTTCTTCTTGATTCTCTTCACTTTTAATAATAATATCTTCAGTAATTTGACTTACTGCAGACATGTTTTTCGGATGTTTATTCATTGATAATCAAAAATAATCATACTTTTATGTCAATTTTAAATGATGTTCCGCAGCTAATTTTTAATAAATAATATATATATTTGAAATATTTTAGTTTAAAAATCTTTTTGTTTTAATTTAGTTATTTTTTTGTTGAAACATAAAAAAAAAAATTTATAATTATTTAGTCTATGAATATAAATACATTTTTTCCCGTCCTCATTTAACTAAAATTTTTGTGAACTCTGAATTTTAAAACAATAATATTAAATAAAAAAAAATGTTCTATAAATAAAATTAAAAAAAATAGAAAAAAGTAAAATAAAAAAAATAAATTTACAATGTTTATAATGATGATTCGATCTCACATCAATGGAGAATTTCCGAACCCATTTCCAAAATATTTCGGATATTCCACTGCCAAACCTGGGAATCTGACCGTCATAGAATTTGTTTCAATGTTATTATTGACACCATTACCATCGCCTAAATTTCCTTTTTCAATAATTGCAATTTGTGCACACCATTCAGCATATTCTTGATTAACAGCTTCGTACTCTACAATCGCTTTTCCTGCATAAGTATGTCTATGAGTAGCATACTGCCTTGCTAAGGGCTGTATCATTGCTTTACTTCTTATGCGTGTAGGAATTTGTGGTGTTGTTGTCAACGTAGACGATATTTGTTTTTGATTCGATTTGTGAGAGCCGGAAGATCTGTGTGATCCATTTGGAAAAATCCAACGGACAAAACACGCCGCTGTCGACATTTCTTTGCCAGACGATTGTTGTAATGCAGCGAATTCCTTAAATGACAGTCTCGACCTGCGGTTCTTGTTTGGTGAAGACGATGATAAAGTCGAAGTCGAGACAGATAAAACGGATGAAGAAGAAGAAATATTCCGAGGCTCAACTATTTGCTGATTTTGCACTTCTTCGTTATTACTACTATCAGCTTTGTTTGAATTGCCTTCAACCGTTGATTCAGTAATTGATTCAACAGTTGGTTCAGCCAGTTTTGCTTTAAAAGCTTGTTCTATATCCCTCATGTCTCCTGTATAATTGGATAGAAATTCGTGATACTGTCGCACATTTTCTAGACGACTTTGCAATGCGACTAAAATACTAAAAAGAGAATATATAATTGTTTATTTACTTATTTACATTTTAAGTAAATTTAAATAAACTAAAAATGTTTATTCACTTACTCAATAACTATTTCTTCATTATCCTCAATAATTATACCACTGTCATTAACTTCTTCTTTTTTATCATCATGCTTTCCGACTCCACCTCCAATTCTTCCTAAACGCCATACTAATAAACGCATATAATATATTCTGACATTTCTTGACCAATGACAAAATAATATTTCAAACATCTCGTCCAAAAGTATTTCTTTAACTAATTGTTTAAGGTAAGCGGCTTGTGACGTTAAAAGGAAAAAGTGCGTATAAATAAAGCTTATTGTTCTTAGAATGGTAATGGAATGGTCTGATTGTTCGAGTAGTAGTTTAATAAGGGAAATATAAAAAGGGACATCAAGTATGTTTATGAGATTTGGTGCAATGAATCGAGAACTTTCTGTGTTATCTAAGCTAACCGAATGTGAAATCATAGATTCTGAAGAAATAATATTGTCCCTAATAAAAAAAGCATAAATTATGTAATGTGTTATTAATAGCTATTATTAACTTTGCATTACGAATCCGAAATAAATACCTATTATCCAATTCAATAATTAACGTATCAATAAAATCTAATAGACCTACAGACGAACATTACAAATAAGTGACAACCTCAAAATTTTCCTCAAAAAAGCATAAACTATACAACCAAACAAAAATAATACTTACAAAATACGCCTTCCACATCATACATATTTGTCTTCTTAACTACAGCTTTAATCCAAATGTTACACATTTCTTGGAAAAACCCATTGTCGACAATAGAAACCATAGTTTCAACAAAACGTCGGCCCGCCATCTCCAAAACCTTTGGTTTCCCACTATTGACGCCTATTGCACCAACAGTAACTCCTCCCCCTAAAGCTACACTTCCGTTTGCTTCTGCATTAGCTACTATACCACCGTCAATGCTAGTGTTTGTAATCGAACCCATTCCAATAGCCGTTGCATTAGGATTCATTCCATTTGATATTCCATTACCTCCTTGTATAACACTATTTGTATTTCCGCCTCCTCTTGGATGTTCAAATTGAATCACTGTCGTGATCGTATGAATATTACGATGGATAAGAGATTCAATCTTGAGAAGGAAAAATGATGCAAGATGAATATAACCCGGTGCAGTAATAAACTCAAACGGTGGAGTCGCAGTTTTGACCGATCGAGTGAAATGCGACGCGAGGTAAGATTTAAGCACGACATGATAGTATTTATAGAACGAAAAGAACAATTCACTATCGTCACTCTGCCAACTTATAATATCAAAATAAGTATAAGTAAACAAATTATTATTGGTTAAACCATTAACATATGATGTATCCTTACCGCCTTATCCAATTACCACTCATTTCTATAGGTGGCTCACCCCAAATACGTTTTGCATTTTCAAACTGTCGCCACCATGATCTTAAATTTAAGAAGCACAAAATTTTTAAATGTTCTGGAAACAAAGCAGAAATTTTTTCGTTCTGTTCTTTCATACGTTCGGGACTGTTTTTTTTTTTTATTTTAATTTAATAAACAAATTAAATATTAAAAAAAAAAAAAATCAAAAAAGTCATCATCGTCACGCAATGTAAAATAAAATTTACCTAGAATCTTCTTCACCGGCTGTCTCCTTTAGTATTCGCTTGATGTGTGATTTACTTACCGGCAATGCTTGCAATAAAGCAAATCCAACACCAGGAATTTTGAAAAAACATAAAGCTGAATAAAATAAAGATAAAAATAATAAATAAGAGTCGAAAAACTGATTAAAACATTGCGACCTTTATCATTACCTAAAACACGCGCACAAAATGAAATTACGTTCGAGTAAACGCCTTTTTGATTAAGTCTATCAATCGCGTAATGTAAAGTTGACATTAAAGCAGCACGATATGTTATTATGGTATTAATAGGAATTTCCATGTATGTGTCTGCAGTATCAAGTTGAGGAATTGATCCTATCCGGTCTGTATAATTAATATTCAATTAATACATATATAATTAACTTTGTTTAAATAAAATAAATAAAATATAAATTTAAACTTATAAACTTGCCGAAAAATTCAAACTCGTTTCTGTTTAAAAATAAATTATTTGTTACTAAAATAGATCAAAATAACCAGCGATAATATATTCTAATATGAATACCTAGTCATTAACGATAAAATACATTCAAAATAAAGGGTTCGATCTGTATACGCCGCATTAGGTAGATTTGAAATTAATATATTCCACCTTTAAAAATAAAATAAATCAATTCCAGTTTCACATTCTAAAAAAAAACAAAAATATTATATATAAATTACGAACCACTTTAACAAAATGACTCGGCCATGTTGTAAACCTTTGTCTGTTGCGTTTACTATAAAGAATGTTTTTATTAACTATAATATAAAGCAAAATAACGAGGAAAAGACGAATTATTTACTTGTTATATATTTTTTGAGCCAAGGAATTAAAACTGATTTTATAACATCCACTTTATGACGATCCTTGGATTGAAATCTGCAATGTTTTTTAATATCAATTTTTGAAAACATAAATGACTTTAAAATTAATTTTATCATACCTCGCCAAGGCTTTTTCTATACTCTTATATTCATTATCTTGTGTATTATTATTCCAAGACTTAAATAACTTGAATCTAATTCCAGAGTCCATTGAACTTGATTTTTTTTTCGAAACATCTGTACCAGACGACGTTGTAGACACAGAATTGGAAGAACTGTTGCTACTTAGTAAGTTAGATATAAAGCCATATTTAGATTTTTTATCTGGTTGTCTCGAAATCGTCGTTGTGGTAGAAGTTGTAGTTGCTTTCGTTGTAACCGTCATTGCTGGTGTTGGTGGTGTTACTGAAGTTGGTTGGTATGAAGCAGAGGAAGAACTATCGGGAATAGGTGGCTCTTCAGTTGAATCTATATTTTTAAAATCGGAGTCTAAGTTCAAAGCTGTATCTGTAGAGTTTTTTTCGGGTAGTTTTATGGTTTCACTTGGGTTACTAGTAATATTCTCGTTGTCCGCTATAGATAAAGATTTGTCGTTATCATTCAAGTTTTGCATGACGAAGGATACAAAACCTTTCTTTTATAATCAAAAAAATAGTTTTATTGAACGTTGCGACATTTAGAATATTTTACAATATTTATTTATGATATCTTCCAGACATTGTGCATGCAGAATTTTCGCACCAAAATGTAACAATTGTTAATTATTTCTATTTTTGATATTATTGTTATGATTGAACATATACTTTTAATCCAACATTCGTGATATATAAAAGAACAAAACCGTTGAAATCAACAATGTAATTTCTCTTAACTACTTACACGTGATATTTCTCTTTTATTTTGAAATTTCGTCATAGCCTCAAAGGTCTCATATAATTTAATCTCTCATATGGTACATTCGTTTTTAATTGTTGTATTAAATTAAAAAAAAAAGGGCCTTTAAACCTTTTTTCGAAAATTTTTTAGATATTTATCTAAAAATGAGTTAACAAATCATGTATAATTGACAAGAAACATGTGAACATGTTAAATTAATTTATACTAATTTTAGCAATGATCAGAAATTCAATTGATAACCAACATTACAATGCTTTTAAAAAAAATTGTGATAGGTTTTCATGAGCCCCGATCATTTGAAAACAAATTTCTTTAGCACAAATGAATATTAAGGATACTAAAAAATTTTTTATTAGAATCCCGAATTAATGATCACACACGCTCAACTTTTCCAAATTTTATTATAGATTTATTTATCACTTATCAGTTATTATCCATTAAAGTTATTAATGCTGTGCCATACTATTTGATATACTGCAGAACCGATCGATTGTCACTCACTGATATTAAAATTTTATTTGCTAATATTTATTAATAAAGTTGTGTATATCTTTAATATTAAATAAATATGTATTAGTTGATAAAACTAAACTTTTTTTTTTCGCTAATTTTAACATGTAATTAATTAGGATTAATCATATAGTACAATATTGTCTTAATAATACTGCCGCTAAGCCAGGAGATCCATTTCCCACATAAATCATTGATAAGTTATATGCCGCATCCCTTCTAAGGCTTGTAGGGTCATCATCATCCTCGACGGGACATTCTTCGGAAAGATTTTCGGATGATTTACCCTTTATAAATTTTAAAAAATTAGTTTAAAAAATACATATATTTTATTTATTTATTGGTAATTTATTACTTTACCTTCTCATGTTGCTCTCTGAAAACTTGCTGAAGGGAAGGTAACTTTAAGCATCTTTCATAATGAGGCACAGCTAAATGATATAAACCAAGTTCATGAAAAGCTCTTCCGAGATTATATTCAGCCTCTTGGTTTCTTTCTTTCAGTTCGTAATAATTATACAAAAATGTAAATGCCTAATATAAAAGAAATTTTAATTATTATTTTGAAAAAAGGTAATACATTTACAAAATTGATATTTTTAAAGACCTGCATAATTTGTAAATGTCGATTATCACTTATTCTTTGCATAGACCGATGCATATATGCAAGTCCCATCGACAAACTAATTAATGGATCTTTTGGTTTAACCGAATACGCACGAGAATAGTATCCTGAAAACAGATAGATTTTTCCAGTCAATTTCAAACATATTATGTATGTGAAATGAACCGAGCATTAATAACAACTTACCAATTGCACCGACATAACTTCTGGCACATGCCAAAATATGTCCATAAAGTGATAATAATGCTGCATTTGGTTTCTCGGGAACTTTGGCTTTTTTCATAACAGGTTTTTGTTTAATCTCACTTTCGGATTTATCTGAATTACTCGAGTTATTTTTTATTATTGGAGTTTGATAAAACCCAGTATCCATCAACTTGACTTGACGAAGAAAATATTTTTGGGAATTTGCGGCTGCAAAGCATGATAACGCATTTGAACCACTGGACATTTATAAAAAATTATAACGAGTTACTAAACTAGTTGTTGAACATCGCATTAACCAATTTTCATCATACCTAGACATTCCTGCTCCATATAAATTATATAAATTACTATTAAATGGCTCATGATTACATAGCCATCTTGCATTCTCACATACAACTAAAAAATTGCGTGTATGAAGTCCCCAAGCTAAGCGAACAAAATAGTATAAAATTAGACTAATGAACTTGCGTTCTATATATATGAAATAGGCATATTATTCTTACCCAATGATAACAACTTGAGAACAGTTGTATAATGAATATTGTGAAAAAATACATTTGCTCTACAAGCTAACTTAAGAAGATCAAAAGCCTCTTGTTCACAATTATTTTTTGTTGCAGTGACAATATACTATAAATTAAACCAGAGTTTAAACAATTAATTTCACTTAATGTGGAATGATTCCTTAAATTAAAAACAAACCTTGATAAAAAAATCAAACCATTTTTCAAAAGTAATACCGTTAAATTCGGTAATTTTTTTGCGTATTTCATCTTCTAATTCGCCTTTTTCACCATCTAAAAGTATATTTAGTAATTAATAAATGTAAAAATTTAAGATAATTGTTTCTAAAAAAAATTATTTACATATTCTTTTTATACAAACCAATACGCCATTGCAACCTTTTTGCCATTGTAGTTGCTTGTTCATCTAGATAAGCATCATCACTATCATTAGAATTTTCAAATTCTTCGAAGTAAACTTGTTTTCTCCAGGATCTTCGACGGTCCCATCCTTTAAATGGGAGCATCTAAATATAATAAAAAATTAATAAAAATTTAAACGTACTCAATAATATAAAAGAAAAAAAAATTAGAGACAATTCACACAAAAACAATTACCCTGTCTCTCTGAGGATAAAAAGCCCTGTTATTTTTCCAATCAATAACAACATTTCTAGCAGTTTCCAAAAATTCTTTAGCTGATTCACAATCTCCAAGCTTAGAACGATCATATAAAAGATCTAATCTGTGAAATTGAATTTTAGTTTCCTTTTCTTTTTCTGCTATTTTTTGTTTACGCTCTTCTTCTGCTCTTGCAAAAGCGTTAGCTTTGGATTCTTCAGACACAGTTTGAATTAAGGACGATTCATTTTGTAAGGTCCCTGCTGATAAATTATGCAATGAACTAATATTGAGTTGATTTGATGTCGATGATGATGATTCTAATTGAGATTCTGCTGCCGCTTGAGCAAGCTTCCTTTTACGCGCTTCAAGAACTTTTTAAAAGTACCATTTGTTAATACAACGGTATTATTAATTCATGATAGAATATAACAGCTAAACACCTTCATTGACTATCTCAAGCGCTTTTTCCTTTTCATCCAAATCTTCATAGGTTTCAGCAAGTGCCATTTTAATATCCAAATTATCTGGTAACTCTTTCACAACTATGAATGAATAATCGAATATATATTAACTATAATATCTATTATAAAAATAAATGAATATTTTTTTTTTTAATACCGGCGGCGAAATATTCGGCCACGCTTTCAAGATTTCCTAATTCTCGGTGACACATTCCCATTCGCATCCATGCAAGGGGTTTATCTGTCTAAAACAATAATAAAGCATACACAAATATATTTATAAATAATACTTCTAATTTCTAAATATAAACCAAAAAAATATATTTACAGATTCATTCTCGACAATTATTTCATATATTGACAAAGCATCTTCAAACAACCCCTTGTCTGTATAAGTTTCAGCTACTTCATAGTACAAATCTACATACTGCTCAACATCGTATGACTCGAGATAAGCAAAATGTAGCTAATTTAAATTATTCAGACAGAAATATAAATTTTGAATTCACCCTTTAAAAAAAAAATAATGAAAATAAATAAACAAATACATACTTTGCCTTCTTCAAGTCGATCTGTTAAAATTCTGCATTGTCCCAATTTAACTCTTAATTCAATAGGTAATGTAGCATTTGAACCTCCCGTGCTACTAGCACCACGAAGTCGAGCAGCTGCTAAAATTGAGGCATGATCTCTTCTATCTAAATTCTCCTCCTCTTCATACTCACGATCATCATTTATATAATCCCACCATGTCTCATTTTCTCTTCCTTGCAACCATCTTACACCCTGCTTAATAAAATCAATAGCATTGTTATAATCACCAGCTAACATGTAAAGTTCAGCCATTATATTTATCTCAGAATATCCGAAACTTCCTTCGGCCTCAGGATCTTCTGGTAAAGGCCTATTTCTATAATAGGAATAAGCATCAAGAAAAAGTTCAATGGCTTGAGGAATTTCATTCATTTGTACTTGAATACGAGTTACTTCTCGTAATACATTCATATCATAGGGTATCTTTTCTAATAGACCTTTAAAACCGTCTATCGCCTTTAAAAGAAGATTTGCAAAATAAATATCGATAATGAATTACTTCGCTAAAAGGCGTTATTTAAAAGAGAAATACTTTTTTGAATTCTCCAATTTCTGAATATAGAATCGATCGATCCCAAATAGCATCCACATCATTATTATCACATCTGATTGCTTTAGAGAAACAATAAATAGCCTGATGGATTGAATTATGATTTCTAATAATATGATATATAAGTAAAGGAAATTAGATATCTCGCTATAATAAATTATATTGAGAAAAAACCAACTGACTTGCTTAAAAGGCCTAATCTCTTCCATAATGCACCATCGTGAGGTGTTAAATGAGCTGCAACTAAATACAATTGCAAAGCTTTTTCTGGACATCCCATCTCATCTTGAATAGTTCCAAGGGTAAACCAAGCAGAATGAATATTTGGATCGATTTTAATAACCTCTTGAAGAATTTCAATTGCTTTTGGATAATCTCTATTTACGTAATGTAAATTAGCTTCCCCAACTAATGCACGAAGATTTGGCGGAATAACACGAGGTCTTGGACCTTTCTATAAAGAATTATCGAATTATCCCGAATAATGATCTGTAGAATTTAATTAATTGAAGAATTCTTAAATAAATAATATATGTTAAAAAAAGGGTACCTTTCCCTTTTTTATTCTTCCAATTCCACTAGTAAGTCTTAAATCTTGATTAAATTCGGTCCACTCTTTTTCCAGATTTTGCCAAAGGTGAGGAACAGAATCTCCTTTGGTTAAATCACTACCAATAGCTTCAGCTTGTGATAATAAACGACTATGTAATTTAATATTATTATTTGATAAGTAATTTATACTTTTTAAATTTTGAGTTATAGCAATAAATTATTTACCCAAAATTATCCGACAAATATTTCTCATCGTCATCATCATCTTCTTCTTCCACTTTGTCCATTTGTTCATTTTCTTCTGCGTCGGTCAATTTATTTGCAAACGCATCTTCAATTAGATCAGAATTTTGCAATTCATCATATTCTCCTTCAAAATCATATACTTCTCCTTCAAAATCTTCTATAAACTCCTCTTCATCGTCAACAAGATCCAAATGCTCATCAAAATTCTGAAATTCTCTGGATTCTGGTTGATCAAAACTTGCTTCCTCAGAGCTAGAATTAAACCCAAAAGAAGAACTTACAGCAGCCGTAGATGTAAGATCTGTAGCTTCTGCAAGCATATGAACTAAATCTGCGTCATCATACGTATTATTAAGTAGGTCGAGAAATGTCGTTGGGTTTGGAGTATTTCTCGGTAAATTTTTATTTGCCATAATTGAGCAAACCCTTAAATTTCGAGTTTTTCTTTTTTAGAACTTCTGTTCACATAATAAAGATTATCGTAATCTATTGTTCACGTGATGATTCAAAATAATTATATAAATAATAATAATAAAAATAATTCACATGAGTAATTCCGCACTTTTCCGGTTTTTTTTTCTTTTTTAATAATAGCCAGATTTTCTGGTACGCTGAAATGCTAGTTTATTTCCAAGCCAAACAATTAACAATGACATACTTATTTGTCAGCACAGAACATGTGGAAAATTCAAAATTTAGTTTTCGTGATACCTTTATCGGGTAAAAAATTCTTATAAAGATAATCCGTTTGTTCATCCTCCATCACTACCTTATTGACTTCTTTCAAAACTCTTCACTAAAAAAGAACCACGTTGCTTTTTTTACTTGTTGGCATATGCCACGAAGTTGTGCAATCAAGTTTAAAATGTTTAACTAATTTCAGTAAATTTCAATTAAATGAGCCACTATTTATCAAAAAGTTCGAAAAATTTTTTTTTTCTTTGTTAAAGACTCTCAATTAGTGAAACTTTCTTTTTTATTTTTAAGAGTTTGAATATATAAAGACAATAGATATTATCTACAATTAATAGTTATAGGTTAATATTAAAAGATTTAATTTCATTATAATGCAAAACTCAACTTTTCAGTTTACTCTTGATCGTCCTTTTGGTATTTATTTTTATGATTATTTTGTGAAAGCGTACACTTTAGCAACGGGAAACGACCCAAATAATTTTGCGTTTATTGAGGGAGTTACTACATTTTCTACTAGATATGAAGTTGTAATTGCGATTGTTACATATCTCGCTGTCATATTTGGAGGGAGACTACTTATGAGAAATTTTCCAGTTATCAAACTTCAATTTATTTTCCAACTTCACAATCTTTTGTTGACATTATCTTCTCTAGCACTTTTGATACTATTCGTGGAACAACTGATTCCAATAGTAGTTCGTGAAGGAATTTTTCATTCCGTATGTCACCAAGACGCATGGACTCAACGATTAGAGTTGTTATATTATCTTAATTATCTAGTAAAGTATTGGGAACTTGCCGACACTGTCTTTTTAGTATTAAAGAAAAAGAATCTTGGTAATATATATTTTCGGTTAAATTTTCTTAATTTGATTTAAAGTAATAAAATTGACCTTTAAAGATCTTTCCGGAATTTTATTTCAGAATTCTTACACGTTTATCATCATAGTATGACGATGGCTTTGTGTTTCTCGCAATTGGAAGGTAGAACCTCAGTGGTAAGTGAACATTTTTTATTTTTTTCATTTTTTTATTTATTCTAATTATTGATAATTTCAATTTTATTATAGTCATGGGTTCCAATTACTCTTAATCTCTTGGTTCATGTGTTTATGTATTATTATTATTTTCGAACCGCAGGAGGGGCAAAAATTTGGTGGAAAAAATATATTACAACATTGCAAATAACTCAATTCGTAATTGATTTGTTCTTCGTATACTTTTGTTCTTATACATATTTCACTGCTACTTACTGGGATTGGATGCCAAATTATGGTTCATGTGCTGGAAGTGAAAGTGCTGCTATTTTTGGATGTTGGATTTTGAGTAGTTATTTACTTTTATTCATCGGATTTTATAATAAAACTTATAGTAATAAGAAAGGAGTAACCGCAACAAAAGGAGCAAAAGTTGAATAATTTCCGGTTTGTTTTAATGATTTCTTTAATTATATAATTATATTAAAGTAATATTTATTATTTTCAATTTAATTTTTATGATTTCTCTTAAAAAAAAAGAATTATTTACAGTTCTTTTAAAAGAGAAAAAAAAAATAATGGAACTTTTTAAAATAAAAAAGCTGTTTATTTATTAAAAAAAAAATTTAATTAGATAGTTTTTTATTTGCTTTATTATTATATATATATTTTTTTATCATTTCAGAAGTTCAATCAATCCTTTAATTTTGTAATTTTGCTTTAGATTTATTTTATTGTAGAAAAAATTATTGAAGGAACATAAATACATAATAATAATATATATATGTATTAATTTTTTATACTGTTTCTGTATTTCTGAAAAATGGACAAGAAATTACTAATTTTTTTAATATTTATTTTTTTCTTTGATGAAAGCAAATACTTTTTGATTTATAATAAAATGTCATTGTAAAGAAATTAAATTTCAATTCCATTTACTTAAAAAGATCGAAAAATATTCTTTAATAGGTTTAAATCGGATTTTAAAAAAGCCACTATATACAACACCAGTAACAAAAAAAAAAAAAAAAAAATAAATAAATAAATAGGTACAAAAGAATTTTTTTTTTTTCTTTTTTTTTGGTTATAAATTTGAATGTTACTATAAAGAAACAGATCAATGTTACACATCAAATTAGAACACAAGGGAGATAAGTGAACCAAAAATAACAAAAATTTGGGCAATCCTTTCTCGACCTTGAATTCTTTTTATTCGAATCCAACATCAATCAACTTTTTCCTATTTAAATATATCTGCTTCTATATGAAAAAAAAAACATTTCGCACAATTTACAAGAAATTTATAAATTAAATCAAAATAAAAAAAAAAGGAACTAAATATGATAATACGATCACTTTCGTTACGTTTATACATAAATGTTGATTTAAATATTCTATCTTCCATCATGAATTATTGGTTGTTGTTGTTGAAGAAGTTGTAGAAGAATTTAGAGTAGAAGCGGGTGTTGGTTCTGGGATCACCGGAACTGGTGTTGTTTGGTTTGATGTGGAAAGTGAGGTAGTTTGATTGTCTGCGTCTGCAGATTGGGTATCTGCTTTTTCATCAATTTCAGTCTCATGTACGAGAGAACTTTCTTTCACAGGTGAGGAATTGTGGGTAACGGCTGCGATTGCATTCGAGTGAGGAATTGTTTCAGGTGAAGGGTGTTGAACACCGACTGGACCTGAAGTCTTTCCAGCTTTGGAAAGAGCGTAATCTCCGGAATCAAAATACTTTCGTTCCTACATATAATATAATTTATAAGTAGAAACCTTTATTTCTCTCATCAAATCCTTAATAAATTATATATGTAATGACGACATTTTGAAAAGATATACACATTTCCCAGGATTAACTCCTTTTTTCTTTCGTTTTAACAAATACCTTTAATTTGTGAGATATAAGATCCTTTCCCGCTTTTCCTGCTGGTAACTTTCCATACATCCGGAAATGCTTCCTCTCTTCTTCAGTTAGTTTCTATTTATTTAATGACAAGAATAAATTAATTTTAGTAATAAACCTTTAATAATAAATTCCCACGATCAGCCTCAAATAAGCTCATAAGCTTATTGAGCTATTGAAAGTCAAGATAACTTACATCGAGGTCAATCTTGTTTCTCCTAGCTGGATTCATATTACTGGCGTGGTTTTATTAGTTTCCAAAAAGTAAAATAAAATAAATATTGAAAAAAACCGAAAGGAAAAAAACTTAAAAAAAATAACGTTTGACGCAGATATTTAACCACAACTTGCATGATTGGTAAAAAATTTTGTGTCACTTATCACATGACCAAAATTCGAAACTGTCACATTGTCACATTGTAAAATAACACTAATTTTTTATGACGTAAATGATTTTTATTTTTTAAAATTATTTAATAATGTGGCGAAATCAGGTGCGGAAGAACCACTCGATTCTTCCATATTATCCAAATCATAAATCTTCGGCTTGATTATATGATCTGCAATATATTGCAGATCATCACATTCGTTACTTTTCTTTGATTTTGATTTCGATTTTGATTTTGACCTTGATTTTGATTTTTCGCTTGGTACGTTGAACTAGAATAGGAATTAGGTTATAACAGAGTTTAACGTAATTAAATGTGTTATAATTAATAATTACCTTCTTTTTTGATTTTTTTTGGGGTGGGCCTCGAGTTTGCTCAGTTCTAAAAGGAAATGTATTTCTAATCTGAGCTTGTAGACCTTTCCATACTAATGGCACAAATGATATTGTTTCACGGTCAATCTCAGTAAGCTTTGAGCTGGTAAGTGAGTAGTTTTCAGCAGTTTCAACGCTCTTATAAACTACAGCATAAGCTTCACCTTTCTCGTGACGAAGGATATATGATCCTTGAAATAATTGGCTAAGAATTAAAAATATCAAAAATTGCAAAATTAGAATCCAGTTAAATAAGAATTCGTTCATAAAATATCGTTAATATATACCGTTGTAATTGCTTAAAAATGTAGTGCAACTTTTTGACAAGTGATTTCACCCTAATATTAAAAAGATCATTCAGTAAAAAGTTACTTATTGTAAAAATATATTTTAGTTAGCTACTCACCGATTTTCATCAGGGAGAATATTTTCTGCTGATACTCTCTCGACCATATTTAGGGTATTCATTGGAACATCGATTCGACCAAGCATTAGATCAGCTTTATTTCGTATCATCGAATAAATCCACCAGCGCGATTGCTCAATAAAACTGATACTTTCATAGTTGTAATCCAACTGATAATCTAATTTTGATTTTATTCCTACAGTACGAATCTATATTTGTACACAAATTACATATATTAGAAAAAATTTACTTTGTATAATATTATTTTTTAAAACGAACCTTTTGATCTGAATCTCTGTAATATCCATCAGATTTACATCGTATCAAAATACTTATATCATCAATATTCCAAAGTGAATATTCAAGGTTGTGTGAAGAATGTTGTAATTCGCCATCTTTATTCATTTTCAAAGCCATACTTTTAAAAGCTGTATTATAGTAAACTTGATTGATTTCACGTGGTGTCATTTTCTTTTTCACAAATGGTTTATCGATATATATTGTTTTAAGAGTAGAATTCTCTAATTAAACATAAAAAGCATTATTGGCAATCTTTTAAATTGTGTATGTAGAAATTATTAATTTACCTTTGGTAAATTCAACTATCTTGATCGGAATTTCCAAATCAACATCTGTAGACTCAGCTAAACCAACAAGTGCAGTAAGACCACCAGAAGAAATTACAATGTCAACTTTATGGTTGGAAAGCATTTCAGGGATTAATGGATCCTGGCTAACCACTGGAATTCTCTATTAAAAATTAGACAAGTTTTCGTATAATAGAAAATTTCATAATGAATAATAATATCATTAACCCATTTACCATCTTTTGCCAATAATCTTTTATAGCAAAATCTGCTGATAATGTATTAGCGGATGGAATGTCATTTAACCAAAGTTCCTTTTCTAATTGAAAAGGAATTTGATTTACTACTGTTGGTGGAATCGAAAATTCAAAAGGCTTTTCCTTAAAATATTGAAAAATTTAATAAAAATCACAATTAAAAATGAAATAAAAGTTAAACACATTATTATCATTAAAAATAACGTACGATTGAACTGAGTTTTTGTTTGAATTTTAATTCTGGTTCCCCGTGACTGGCTGGATTAAGTCCAATTGTTAATTCTATTCTCTAAAAAAAATAAGATAATTATTAAATTCATCATACCATTATGTACAAATCGGAATTACTATTATTTACATACTGAATATACATTTATATTACTTTGCCTGCCGTATTTTAAGTGGTTCTAAATTAAAGGAATTAAATTATTTAGTCGTGATATTGATTAATATTGAACATGAAAGATACTAACCATAACTTTATTTTCTATCAATGGGTTCAAATGACCAACAAACAATTTCGATCTTTCAAACTGCCATCGCTCAAAATTCTTTTGTTCGTTTATGACCCGTTCCGACATATTCTGATAAAAATTACGTTGTTCTTTTGAAACCAATTCCGGCTAGTTAAATATAAACTTTCATTAGCATTTATTACATGAACATACAAACATTATAAATAAAAAATATAACATACATTACGATAAATCACTGCCTCGATCTGAAGGTATTTTAGATGTTCTTCCGAAGACATCGAAGAATAAGGTAAGTTCATCATTTCTGATCGAGAATTTGATGGAACATCTGTAATGTTTGTAGCTGATTGTTTTTGTATCAGTAAAGTTTCATTCTTCCGATTCTCATCAAGCAATTCTAAAAATGGACCCAATATATCTCCGGAAGTTTTTGAATCATCAGGTACAGATCTCTTTGCAGGAACAACTTTACTAACGGATGAATTTGGTGATGAGATCAACTCTGTCGTACTTTCGACTGACTGTGCATTTTTCGGATTTTTTTTAACATTTAATTTAGGTATTTTATTTTTATTATTATATATTTTATCATTAGAGGGTGATTTATTATCATTTAAACCCCTTTCAAGATTCTCAGCGGATATCAACCCACTTTGACTATTTTTATTTTTTACAGGTGCAAAATTACTTGAAGGTTTTAGCATACTATTTACTGAAACTTCTTGAGAACTAGATACGCCTGAAGATTCTATAACGACTTCTTCTACCACATCAGTAAAACTTTCATCTTCGGAATTGTCTTTTTGGACTTCAAGTTTATTACTAGTACCATCATCTTTATTAGTACTTTGACTTACAGTTTTAACGTCAGGGTTCTCATCTGGTGTTGAGTTTTTAATATCCTTATCATCCTTACAAACTTCAGATTCATCTTTAGTAACGCTTTGATCTTGAACTTTAGATTCATTAAAGCCCATCATATTGTCATCTTGTTGTTCTTGTCGTTCGTGATTATCGGCAGGTGTCTCTTGTTTTTCATTAACTTGATTTTTTAAATTGTCATCTATAAAAAAATAAAAATCTCTTGATGAATCTTAATATTAACAATCAAAAGTAAAAACTAAATTATGCATTACCTTTATCATCAATGCAAACGACATGTGAAGTAGATGTATCTTGTTCTTTAATAACTTGAATTGTTGAAAACGTATAATCTATTATTATTAAGCCTTTATAACATACAAATAAACAAAATTTTATATACTGTACCATTAGTAATTTGATCATACGTATTTGTTTGTAGATTTATAGATTTCACGGGTAGAGATTTCGATGAAAGAAGTCTATTTAGTCTAAGTTAAAGAAAGAATTAATATTAACATCAACATTTAAATTATTACTCCCTTCAACAAAATTTGACTTACCTTATTTTCCTTCTAGTAGTCATATTTTGCTTATGTTCAATAAGAGTTACAATTGAATCATCATTATTAAAATCAGGATCAGCGGGATCATACACAATTATATCAGTGTCTTTTAGAGATATTGAAATAGGTAGATCAGGTTTAAAAGCTTCTTTTAAATCATCAGAAAGCATGAGAGTGAATTGTTGTATTGGCTGTTGATAATCAACTTCCATTAAATCCTGTTTTTGTAATCGAATATCTTGTTCCAATGGTTGATTCTCCTGATCACTGATAACATTTTTGACAAGTTCCGAATCCTCAATATCTTCAGTTATTTTTAATGAATTATTCATATTATGTACAGTAAGTGAATCATCATCTTCAATAACAGAGCTATTATCATTAACATCATTAATTACATCAATTTCGTCAACATCCATTTCATTTTCATCGTTGTTATTAATTATTGACGCGTCATCGTCAAATAAACTCTTATTTTTGCCCTTTAAACATGATTCAAAAGAATAGACCGCAGATTTGGTAGATTCAATAGCAAACTTGAGATCTGATAAAGTCTTAGAAGTCTGTCGAAATATAGCCTTATTTACTTTTGTTATACGTTCAAATCTTTGTGGTGGTTTTTCGTCATTTATTATAACAAGAGGATCGAGATCATTTTTCATAGAAGGTTCCTGAATGTCTTTTACGTTTTGAACAATTTCTTTGTCAGAAGAAATTTTTACTTGATCCAAGTTCATATTTATGAATGATTGTTTCTCCTCTTTATAATCAATACGATTTTTGTTTGCAAGGCGAGAACTACTTCTTCGACCGCTCATAATTTTGATAAATAATTTTTTTTAAGTTGTTTTGGATCAACTTTTATTATGTTATTGTATTATGAAGCGAGTTAATAAATCCTGATGATCTGATGATCAGCAAGATTCCAAATTCTAGATATCCGAACCTATTTTTTGAAATAGGTAATGCATAAAAATTTTTTCTATCTAATGAATATTTTAAACATTATAACTGAATGAAATTTAAAGAAATTTTATTAGAAACGAAATCGTTCTTGTATTTCAACGTATGATAAACCAAATACATTGTGTATATGTAGTATATTTAATACCTAACATGTCCCTCCAACTCAGTATGAGATTATTAATGAACAAATAAACCTCACCAAAACACAATTCTTCTGTATAATATTCATACCAAATTTCAGAAATCTAATATTCTTTTAATATCGATTCATTCGATTGCTTTGTTAACTACCATTTTTGCAATCTCTCACTTAATAGAAGCGGTTAGGTTAGAATAAAATGGTGACATTGAAGTAGAGTGAATTAATATGATCACAACATTTGCCGAATGATATTCGAAAAGAAGGATTTATTAAAAGAAATAATGCCCCTCAAAACAGTGACATTACTAGGCCAAGGTCACGTGCTACTGAATTCTTGATTCTAGACACGGATTATACTTCATATACAGGGAAGATTTACTGTTTGAAGGCCAAACTATCACGTCGCATTTACTGAGATTCTTTGAACGCAGAATTTCGCCTAGTAATCATAGAAATATAGTATAGGAATATAAAATAGATGACTCTAAGTGAAAGAAATTAGCAATTAAGGAAACATTATCGGTTAATCTCCACAAATTTATTTTTAGTATCTTTATTTTTGTATGATAGTCATGCTAAAACGTGATAAAAATAACTTTCATACAATGTGTGGGGTATTGATATTCATTGCTTTGTGGCTTCCATTAATCCTTTACATAGATTAATCCGATAACTAGCAGCCTAGATTTTCTTATTGCGCCACGAACAAGAAATTGGGATTAAGAAATTAACAAATGCATTTAAGAAACTCGCACAAATGCATTCTAAAAAGAAGTCACCTATTATAATGTAGATATTTCAGATAACAAAGAATTTTAGTAGCTGTCGTTTTGACCAGATATTTATTAGGATTACCGAATAGGTAAATCAAATTATTCACTTACCTGTAAATAAATTAATCGCGTACATAATGACGCTTGCTAACTTATTATTTAATGTTGGATTTTAAAAAAAGCAAATATGTATCTATTGAAACGGACCTGCCCGGCTAACCCAGCCAAGAACTGCAAGTTATATAATAATAAAATGGGCTTTAATTGACATCAAAGCCAAATTACCATTGTCAAAGCTAATTCTGGTTTCAAACTTGGTTAAGTCAATTTAAGAATTGAAAAAAATCCGATGACACAGATATCACCCCCCCCCCCTTTTTTTTGATTTTTTTCTGTAGGTAAAATAGACCCCTTTTTTTTAAAAAAAAAAAAATAAAATGAAAACAAAACCACTTTTTTTTTTTACTCAAAATAGATAATTTATTTATTATTTATTTAACGTATCACTATTATCATTACCATTATTGTCATTGATTGTTTTAATATGAATGACTTTCTTTCTTTTATGGTTAAATATGTTTTTGTTGTTATTTGTTCTTTATTCAGAAAAACAAAAAAAACCAGAACCTGTTTTTAATGGATACAGATTGAGAGATAAAGATGATCGACATCGAGATCTACCGTTAAAATACGTCAAATACCAAAATCAAATACAGCATCGGAGTTACTATTAATTCGGATGGAACTATTTTATCAGGTTTGACAAAATTGCAAAATTGGTATACTCTATTCGTCTAAAAATTGTCTTCAGTTCAAGGTTGTAAAAATATTTAACGATTTCTAACTCTACCAGTATTTGAATTATGCCTTCACTGTGAGCAACGATTATTCCTGTGCTTAAACATTAAATGATTGAATGGTGTCAAGATTACGAACCCAGAAATTTTGACATTTGATTACAACATCCACAGTTTAAACGCGAAGACCTCTGAACTATTTGGGACAGACTTTTAGTAAAATGGATTTCGTATACAAAGTGGCTTTGGAAATGTGGAATTATCTATTCCCATTTGGAATTCAAATCTAGACCCAGTTTCAAGATGCTAAATGCGTCAAATATCTCTCATTATAATGAATCAGCCAATTAAATTTTTTAAATTCTTCGCTAACTTCAGATAGTCAAAGGTTAGCATTTTTCCAACAACAATTCATTGTTTCTATTCACATCTCAGTGATATTAGTTATTGACATTGTAATGGACGCTAAAATATAGCGAATTTGAGGTGAAAATCGGAGGGTTCGTCGTATCGAGGCCGGCAGTAACTCGCACCAGTACCTACAGGAATTCCTAAACCAAGTAATTGATAACCATGTGTAAAACATCCGTTGTTACCTTCACAATTAAAAGGTTCGATCATACTGTAAGTCTGTAAGACTGTAAGTGCACTAATCACGTGCTGCATTCACAAGAATTTGTCAACCTGCGTAATTATTTAGGTGGGAAGACCGGTTTCTAGATGAATTGCACGAAAACGATTTATCACTTGACATTTTAAATAACATATGCTTATAATAAAACAAACGTATATCTAAAAATACTTTTAAAAACAAAAATTAACAAGATGCTGTAAACCTTCCTATGTAGAAAAAAGGAGGTCACTATATTATAGAATTTAAAAATATAAAATAGATGCTTATTTTATGAGAAACTATTTTTTTTTTTTTTTGGTTTCTGTTTTTTTATTATACAAAATATGTTAATGTTCGAAATTATTATGCTTGAATTTTTTGTGCTTAAATTAAGCTTTTTTTTTTTTTTTAAAAAAAAAAATGAAATATACGTCCAAAGAATTAAACTACATATATATTTTTGATAATTTAATTATTCAAAACCTGGGATATCCACCATCGATATTCTTTTTTATGATCACGTAAATTGGATGCTATACTAGTAAATAGGTTGGTCAATACAACTTCGTCCATAACCTTTGTAAACGAACAAGTCACGGGACCAGGGGGTGTATACTTTTTCGCAATGTCAACCATCCTTCCTAATGAATCACTTCCAAAATCTAGACCGAAAAGGACAGTATGTAGATATATTGGTGAACTAATAATAATAAAAAAAAAAAAATTTTTTTTGATCAATGAATTATAATAATTCATTATTTTAAGATGAAAAAAAAATAAAATTATGAAAAATTATATATACTTCTTTTTGGCATTGCGTTTACAAATTGAATCCAAATCATATTCAGGAACATCTGCTTCTCCATCTGAAAGGAATATAATAATATTTGTCCTATTCAAATATTAAAAGTTAAAAAAAATTCGAATGATATAATTTTGTTAAATTTCATTGAAATACAAAAAAAAAATTAATTTACTTTGTGGCATCAAAATATTTGTTAATAAGTTGATCTACTTTTTCAATAGCAACTCCAAAATCAGTTCCACCTCTATTTTCATATTGAAGCATTTTATTAAAGAGTAAATCAGCATTAATTCTTTCATTCTCAAAGATTACAACTGCTTCATCATCAAAAAGAACAAGTGATATCGTATCACGGTCAATACGATCAGTAATCAAAGGAGTCCTTGAGGATGATTTATAACGTGTTTGCAATCTAGTATCCATGAAAGAATAAACAGCATCATATACAGCACCAAGACGATTATCATGAGATTTTTGTAATTTGGCATAATTACGAGACTTTTCTGATGGAGTAATATCATTACCTAAACAATAATCAAAATTTAATTTTAATATTAAATATAATTTTGATAATTATTAAAGTAGATTATTCTTACCATTCATTGAACCACTTCGATCCATAACGAGTATAATATGAAAAGCTGGATATTTATACTCTATAACTTTAACATGTGCTGTAAGTAAACGCCAAAATCGTAATGATAATAACCCTATTTCAATCAATTCTGTCTCCTTAATTTTTAAGAAAAGTGAAACGCCTAATGTTGATAAGACCAAAATCGCGTCAAAACCATGTAGTAAACCATATTTTCCTCTGCAGAAATATTTTGGACCAAATACTATTGCTCTTAATAATACATCAATTGCAAATATTATATTTATCACTAATGAAATTTTAAATAAGAGTTCAATAAAGAAATCATCCAACTTGATCATAATTATGACCGTTAATGCAACGATGTTGATAGTTGTCAAAAATAGGCCCCAATACATGAAACGCTTTGCTTCGAGGAATTCTGCAAAGGCGGTGTAAGGTGATTTTTTTGAATTTTGTGCAGGTTTATTCGAATCATCGTAACTTGGAAACTCGGTAATGATGGCGCCGTAGCTCATTTTTATTGTTTTTTTAAAAAACAAAAGAAGAGAGAAAAAAAAAAATAATATTAATTAAATTTGAAGCAAGAGAAATAAAATAATTATTGAAGTGAATTTATAGATTTTAACTTTCTTATAACTACCATTTATGGATAGTCAATAAAAGCGAAATGTGCACTACCCGTTATGTTAATTTTAATTTTTTGTGGGACATAACGAATTAGGGAATTACAATGAAAAACTATGCAAAGAAACGAACGCCGTATCAAAAAAAGAAACTTGACAGTAGAATCCCTCCTTAAATCGGGTCCATTAAAAAGGAAAATATCAATTCTAATTTTTTATCAATTATCATGGTTAAAGTTGTGATACACTTTAATCTATATCTTGAAAATACATTAATGAAAATAGAATTAAAATCGGTAGAATTCATGGAAATTGAAGTAATTTAAAAATTCAATAATATTTAATATGATACCAATCGGAGCTGAAGTAATAATTAAAGTTTACCCCGAGAATAGTAACCGTGACTAAAGGTTCGGTTACTTCCCAAAGTAAGATAAATTATTATCTTCATACCCAAACTAATTTGCAACTAACCCAGTCGGGTTTAGGTCAAAAATACAATCGTAATAATAATTTATTATTCTATTTAGCTATTGTTATTTAGAAGAATAGTAAAGTTGAACTTAGGAAATTGATTATTTTCTTAAAAAAGTGGCAGTAATTACAAATCATAAAGCATTCATTTGATCTGGATCTAGAGTATGACAATAAATAATACTTTAAAAAATAATATAAATCTTTTTGATACTAAATAAATTAACCGCAGGTAATTTGATCCACATTTTCATTGTAGTAATGAAGGATAATTACATTTTAAAAGATATTCAACTAAATTGATCGAGTTCGGACCTTCTTTTTTTTTTCAGATAGCTACTCTGATTGGCTAAAAAAAAACGAATATTTCTAATGTTGCCCAGTTGCCCTTCGAAACTATAATTCGGTTTCGAAACTTTTAAATTAGTTCGAAGTTGGTGAATGGAACCAATTTTTGAGGTCCAAACTCCAAAGCATCCAGGGAGGTATCTACAATTAAAAAAATTAAAAAAACGAAAGGAACGTAAGGGTATTCTCAACGGGTAAGGCCGAAATCCCCGTCCAGGCGTCCAGGAAGGTACTTGCAATTTAAAAACGAAAGGAACGGTAGTAAAGGTCATACTAAATTGTAGGTACCTCCATGTGGATTTCGGCCTTACGGAGGATAAGCGTTGAGATTTGAGTTAGAAACGTTAGAGAGGCATCTACAATTAAAAAAACGAAAGGAACATTAGTAAAGGTCTTGGTACCTCCATGTGAATTTCGGCTTTACGGAAGGTAAAGCGTTGAGATTTAAGTTAGAAACGTTAGAGAGGTATCTACAATTAAAAAAAAAAACGAAAAGAACGTTAGTAAGGGTAAGAAATCCACGTCTAGATCATCCGGGGAGGTACCTTCCCTAATTCCAATCCCATATCTAAAAAAATAATATTTATTAAGATTTCATTTTTTTTAAAAAAAAGGTAATTTTTTTTTTATTTTTAAATAAAAAAGAGTTTTAATATACTAAATATATATAATATTTAACTCATAAAAACTTTTATAAAATCTTTTGAATAAATTTTAATACATTTAACATTTACTTTAAATATATTAACAAAAATATTTCCATCATGATTATTTTTTTCATTAATTAAATCCCTTTCACCAATAAATAACCAAGTAAGATCTTTATGTAAAAATGATTCATAATATAAATTATTTTTAATATTATCTTGATTAATAATAAAAATATTTTTAATTCTATTTGAATTTACTTTTAAAACTTTTATATTATAAAATTTTTCTTCATCAATTTCAATTTCAACAAAATTTTGATTTAATAAATTATTAATATTTATATGACCTCTTAATCCTTTAGTTATTTCATATGTAATTCCATTATTACTTTTGTAAGTAAATTTGAACTAAAAAAAATTACGAATGAATTATTATGTATATATATAAATTATATTAATTATATATAATTATTTCAAAAAAAAAAAAAATATTTCATATATTTTTATATAATTATTTCAAGAAAATATTACCTTGAAATTCCAAATATATTTATTAAATTCAAGTTCATCTCTAATGACAACATTAATGATATTATTGAATCTTCTACATGTCTTTCGTAACATTACAAGTTCACCGACACTATTAAAAAAAATGATCATATTACCACGTGAATTTGGCTCTACATTCCAAAAATTTTATAAATTTTTACCCATTCTTCTCACGAAATTCTTTAAAAATCAACAATAAAATCTCTGTCGGTAATCCTAAAAGATTAAATCTGTTTTTTCGTTTTGATAATTGGTTTTGATGATGTTTTATCTCGAAATAAAAAGCTTTTAAAAAATGATGAATGAAAAAGTAAATTATTTTAATGATGAAAAACATGGTGATTTTAAGTAAATATAAACGATCACAGAAAAGAACTTGTGAATTTTGTAGTGAGAATGAATTTTGTAACAGGAATGAATTTTGAATTTCTTAATGGAAAAGAATTTTGTAAATTTCGCAATGAAGGAATTTTGTAGCTAAATAAAAAAAAGAATCACATATAACACTCATATAATTTAAACCATAATGAATGAAATTCATAGAACGAGATATCTTCCATCATAGTAAATAATCACTAATATTATATTATCAAATTATACGTCAAGAAATTTTTTTCTGCTGTTACGTTTGATTTTTTTTTTCACGAGCAATTTTTTCACGAGCAATTTATTGATATATAAAAAATTTAAAAAAATATTTTAAAAAAGTATTACCTAAATATGGATAAATTATTGTTGATCTATAAATAAATTTAGTTTTTACCCCGAAAAAAAAACAGTTTTTAAAAGAATTTAACATTTTTAAATACTTTACAATATTTTCTATTAGATTTATTGAATCACTATGATAAAAAAAAATAATATTTTCCAAAAATATTATTACTTCAAATTATTCTTAGAATTTTTGTTATTTACAGTATATGCAAATATTTACATCGCTACATGTGCTTTTCAAATAATTATGTTTAAGGAAGATATTTGTATATATATATATATTTTTACAGTTTAATATCGATCTTAAAAAAAATCGGCATTAAATAAATAATCAAAAAAAAAAACATAAACTAAGCAGCAACTCGTCATTCTAAAAAACATAAATTTGTTTTGCTTTGTTATCATTTTATACATAAAAATTTTAGCATTTTTATTTAAAAAAAAAAAACCGGAATATTCTTAAAACTGCAAGGTTTCGTAATTTTCGTTAAAAAACTCGTTTTTTTAGTTATTATTTGTCTTATTTATCGGTAAATAGTAGATCGATCATCAATAAGACTTTTTTGATTCTAGATTAAGTAAAATGTATAATGATAAATTCAACCTAAATAAATAAATACGGTATGGTATATTTCCAGTAATTTCATTTATAGAAAAAGCTCGTGCTAAAATTAAAATTATCGTATAGAAACTTCGATAAAAAAATCTGCGTCACGTGAGATACTATTATCCAATAATATGATATCGGACATAATTTCGGCAAATTTTTTTTCGGATCAACCGTGGACAGTTTTTACTCAGAGTTCTGATTACAACGAAAGTTCAGAAACAATGAAACTTTTTTTTGTATTTCAAATAAAATTTTATGATTATTTTTGTTTAAAAACAAAAAATTTCACAAAATTTATTAATATTTTATTTAATTTACATAATTTATTTTTCTGCCTACATATTTATCAAAAAGATGCAACACAACTCCACAAGGTCGTACATAATAAATAAAAAATTTGTTTTTTTTCAAAACAAATCACAAAATTTTTTAATTTTTATTTTTGTCACAAACAGTTTATTAGAAGGAATATGAGGAATATGCGTGATTTTTAATTGACTTATGAGAACATCCAATTAATCAATAAATCAATATTAAAATATTATTGATCCCCACAGTATTCCTAATATTTCTCATTTCCGACAAAGACGACAAAGATGGCAATTAATACATACCGTAAATTGTGTTAACCAAGTTTATATTTTGAATATTTAATTCGATTTTGTAATAAATAATAGTTATAATTACTTTTTGTAATTCTAATTCGCACTCGTGTACATTGTAACAAACTCGAGTTAAAAAACCAGATTATATCACGTGGCTAATGCCGTCCAACATTCGGCCAGCATTATGCTTCTTCCGGTCCGGGCAAAATTATCTATTCAACTGCGGTGGTACCGTGTCAAAAAATACTTTTACTCGTTCCGACTCGAGTATTCGTTCCGACTCGAGTATTTGTAGAACAATTTTTAAATTATGTTTCGTTCCTTTAATAAGTTTCAACCTTCTTTTATCGATGACCCAACTCTAACCCTAACCTTGATCCCTAACTCTATTCCGACTCGAGTACTCAACTTTACTTTGTATTTGTATAATTATAGTGAATAATTGCAATATTTACAGCATTAATGATTATATATTAAAAAGAGTATATATTATGATTTGATTATCATTACTGTAAAAACCAATAATTTGATTGTCGGTAAATTCGGATTATCGATCGTTATTGATTTTCGGGGGTCTTCCATTCAAGTGTACTAAAAATTTCTCCTTTTTTAAACACTTTTTTTAAATAAACATTTGATTAACCTTACGAGATCACTTTAAAAAATATATATATTTTTTTTTAAAAAAAAAAAACTTCAATTGTGTAATCAAATTTAACAAACATTATTATTATTATTAACAATTTCAATATTTTGTAGTTTGTACCATTTTTTCAAATACGGTACAGTACAATCGATCCTCGAATATAACGAACCCGAATTTTTCTCTTAAATGCGTCAAATTATTCAAATATCTCTTGTTATAAAGAATTAGACAATTTAAATTCTTCGTTATAATCTTTTAAAATCAAAGTGAGGGTTCGTTGTATCGAGGGTCGACTTCTCGACTGTAATACAAAATATATATTTTTATATTATTTAATACTAACATTCTTAAAAAAATATGAAAAATGATTAGTTCTTTCAATTAGATCTACTATTAGTAAAAATCGATAAAACTGGTGAATGGTGAAATATATATGCATAACAAATCAACAATTCCAATTCTTTAATCAAAACTTTTAATTTTTATTTAACAAACATTATTAATTATTGATTAAAGAATATTATTTCGAGATAAATAATGTTTCAAAGATAAGAAGAAATAAATTAAGTAAATTAAAATAGGACAATCCCTCCAATGAAATTGAGAGATTTTAATTTTAGTAACATATCATATTAGCCTATCATCAAACGAATTGGAAAAGCATCGTCATATGAACGATAAGTAAAAAGTAAAACGGTAAGTATATAAAGTATACTAAGTATATATTAAGTATAAAGATATATAAAGTATACGGCTAAGTATATATTAAGTATAAAGCATAGGCATAATACATAAGCTTCACCATAAGTAATATATAGTTCATCGTAAGTATAAAGTATAAAGCATAGATAATACATAGGTATCATAGACAGAATACATATAACAGTATAACACCAAGTACATAGGCACCACGCATCAATGGCATCATTCGCATCAATTATAAAGTATATAGACATAATACATAGGTACCATAGACATAACAAATAGGCATCATCATACGAATAAACATAACACATAGTACATATAATTTGTTATCCACAAAAGTTTAAGATCCAACATAATTTGTTATTTTGATTGGTTATCCTCATATTATTGCATGAACGATCACGTCAAAAACTGCAAAAACTTATAATGGATAATTTAAACCAACTAATAATCTATCGTTAATTAGATTATCATCTAAATTTAATTAATTCAATTCAAGGTTTATAAAACGTATAATGGTATAATTATATGTAACAAGTAAAAAATTTATTACCCAATTATATATTTCGCTATTATGAATATACTTTATATCATAAATATACTAAATATACTAAATATACTAAATATTAAATGTGATATAATCAAATCATTATTCGTACTAAATGCGATATAATCGTACTAAATACGATACAATCAATCTATCTTGAAGATGTTTCCCATCTAAATAATACATTTTTAATCATCTCGATACATTTAATTTTATTATTCTTTCCCCTTACCTTTTAATTAATTACAAATAGTAACACCAGGGGGATAATTACTAGATTTGGCTTTTTCTAATAAGTTCAGGGGTATTTTATGCAAGTAAGATTTGTTTACCATAAAGTACACCGATTTTTTAAAACTTGGTGGGAATTTTGGGAATTTTTAAAAATGGACTCAATATTCTATTAAAAGATCTTTTTCCGATTAGTCCATAATTTTAAAAAAGATAAAGTTCAAGATTTAAATATAAAAGTCGGTAAAAACTTTTCAATGAATTGGAATTAATTGAATAATTTCGGGAAAAAATAACAATTTTAGAATAGATTAAAAAAAGATTTTTTTTTTTTTTTTTTTGGACAATTCGAAGAATTTTTTTATTTTTTTTTGGATAATTAAAAAAAAAAAGGATTAACAACAAATAAATAATAATAATAAAGAACGTAAATAATAAAAAAAAAAATTTAATAATAAATTAATAAATTAATAAATGAAAAAATGTTTCATACACATATTTTCTAAATAATTTTTTTTCACTTTCTTTCTTTTCTTATTAATTGATTTGATTTCATAATAAAAGATGAGATGTTTTTTTTTTTTTCAATATATTCAATATATTCAATATATTCATTATATTCATTATATTCAATACAAAGGCATTTTTTTCTTTCAAATTTAGAATACACGGCATTTCTCAAATTTAGAAATACACGGCATTTTTAATTTTAAATTCTTTACAAATTTAGAATATACGGTATTTAATCCTCAAATTTAGAATAACATTTAATTTTTCAAATTTAGAAAATACACGGTATCTAGTATAATGGTATTAGACTAAAAAAAAAAAAAAAGGATCAAAACAAATATGCGAGCTCATTGTAACATATTTTTAATTGTCCACTGTTAATATGCTTGAATGGTTAAAATAGTAGTATAGTAGTATAGTTAGTATAGTAATATAATAATAAAATAACAAAGATTTAATAGATTGAATATACTATCTTTAAAGAATCCATTTTAAATTAAAAAAAAAACTAAAAAAAAAAATAAACATTTCCTTTTTTAAAAAAAAATATCTCCTTTTAAAAAATATCCTTTTTTAAATTAAAATAAAACTAAAAAAAAAAAATGATTCCAAATGACTCTTAAAAAAAAAAATATCTTTTAAAAAAATATTCTTTTAAAAGAAAATATTCTTTGATTCTTTTAAAAATTGATTCTTTGATTATTTTAAAATTTGATTGATTCTTTTAAAAAATATTCTTTTAAAAATTGATTCTTTGATTCTTTTAAAAAATATTCTTTGATTCTTTTAAATTTGACTGATTCTTTTAAATTTGATTGATTCTTTTAAATTTGACTGATTCTTTTAAATTTGATTGATTCTTTTAAAAATTGATTGATTCTGATTGATTCTTTTAATAAATAAATATTCTTTATCAATTCTTTTAAAAAAAATATCCCTTTTCCTTTTAAAAAATATCCTTTCAAAAACATTCCATAAAGAAAATTCATTAATCCATATTAATCGCGTTATTCAATGAAAGAATGACCATATTGATAATATATAAATTAAAAAAAAAAAACCGAAATGAAAAATTTATTCACCATTTTTGATTGTTTACAAAAAAAACTGTTTACCACATTTCTGGGTATTATTTTTACTTTTTTTGCTAAAAATAAATTTTTTTATGTCATCAGAGTCATCTATTTTATTTATATTTAGATTTTCAATGGTACAATGTTACGATTGTACGAATGAAGATTGAATCACGAAATTGAAAACACCAATCAAAATCTTTACTTTCAAAAAGCTTATTTTAATCAAGTTTAAATCCGGTAATTTTTCCATATTCATATATTCATATATTCATATGTGGGAAAAAGTAAAAGTAAAAAAATTTTTTCACACTAACAATAGTAATTTACAACACATTTACATTCCGTAAAACAGATGATAAGATTGTTGATNAAATTTGATTGATTCTTTTAAAAATTGATTGATTCTGATTGATTCTTTTAATAAATAAATATTCTTTATCAATTCTTTTAAAAAAAATATCCCTTTTCCTTTTAAAAAATATCCTTTCAAAAACATTCCATAAAGAAAATTCATTAATCCATATTAATCGCGTTATTCAATGAAAGAATGACCATATTGATAATTTATACTTTTAAAAAAAAAAAAATAAAGAAAACTATTTACAAGAAAAGTAAGTGATGAAAAAAAAAAATATTTATATTAAAGAAAAATAAAAAGAGAAAAAAATAAAAGAATTTTTTTGTTCAAGTGAGTGTTGGATCAAATCTTTTAAATTATTATATAATTATTTCTAAACTAGAATAATGCGAATTCAAAAAATTCGTCTCTTTTAAAATAAAATAAGAAAAAAAAAGTATATTACAAGTAAATTTTTACTAAGAAAAATTTTTTTTTGATAAATTATAAATAATAAAAAGGTAATATTAAATTAATGTAACTCTTAACGATTTATGTGAGTCGTGTCGTGAGAAAGATTTTGATTTTGATTTTGATTGATTTTTGATTTTGATTTCATAAAAAAAAAGATATGATTTTTCATGATGTGATTTCAATCAACATCTTAAAAATCTTATTTATTTATCTATTTTTTTTTCTAAAAAAATGCGGTTTTGGGTGATCTGCCTAATGGTTCAACACCTTCCATATCCATCATCTCCTCTTTTTTCCTGGAAATGGGTTCGGTGACTGCGCCACTATTTGGACCACCACTTCTTTTAAATCCAAGTACATCTTCCTCTATTCTCATTAATTCTGCAACAAATCCAATATTTGGACTAATATTATTTCTACGTTCCATTACATAATCATATGAGTGTCTTAACGTCCATTGACGCGCTTTAATTAAATATGCTAAAACTGCTGTTACTGATCGTGATTTTCCTGCTCTACAATGAACGTATATTGGTGTATTATCTTCTTGTGCACGTTCTGTTAAAAATGATAAATATAATTCTTTAATTACACAACTTTTATAAAATTTTTATAAAATTTTTGAAAATATTAAAACAAATTTACTTACCAATAAAGTTTACAGCGATTTTTAAACCTTTTTCAACATCTTCTTCAATAGAATCTTTAATATTTAACTTTAAGTAACGATCGAATTTTTCTTTTAATTTTAAAGAATCTTCACATTCAAAAGCCATATTTAAAATCCTCTTTACACCTTTATCTTCAAGTTGTTTAACTTCATCCTCTTTTGTAATTTCGGGTCCAAGGTATAAAAATCCAGGAATTATAGTTGAAACTTCAAATGCAATCTCAGGATGTGTTACAGGAGGTGGAGTATCAAGTGAAGAATCATCAGAAAAGTCGTGTACTCCATATGATGCAGTTGGATAAAATGGCAAGGTTTCTCCTAAAAAAAAAAAAAAAATAATAATAATTAACTTATGATAAAAAATATATATATATACATATTATACATATATAAACTAAACTTACCAAGTTTACAAGTTGGTGTTAATATCTGTTGTAATCCATTTGAAGGACGACGCCCACGTGGAATTTCAGCCTGCTTTGTTCCACAAGTTTCTAACGGAGTTGGTGGTTGCAATTGTAATTGAGGTGGTGATTGTTTTTGTTGTTGATATGGTGGTGGTGGTGGTTGATAATGTTGTGTATTTATTTCTAAACTAGGTTGTTTTACACTTTTCTTACGTCTAAGAGAACTTCTCTCAGTATTTACAGAAAATAAAGAATCTCTACGAACTAAATTTGAACCTTGTTCTTGACCTTCATATTCCATTAAAGTACTATCATCATTTTTTTCATCAGACATTGAACCTATATCATTAACAATAAATTCACCTCTTTGATCCCATGATCTAAAAGCTTCAAAACCTCCTTTAAGCCAATAAACTCTACCCCTAGGTAATTCATTTATTTCATCAATACTATCATTTGAATTATTTGCATAATAACTTGACATAACCCTTTCTAAAACGTTTAATAAGGTCCAACTTGGACTTATTTTATCGTTTTCATCCATCATTTCATCAAAAATTATTATATCATGATAATATTTACCACCATCCTCATTTATTGTATCTAAATATTTATCCTTACATTCAGGAGTTGTTATAAAAGAATCCAAAGAAAAATTACTCATATTACCACGACGATATCTTTTAATTAAAAGAGTAGGTAGATTGACATTAAAAGAATCACGAATATGTTCATTTTGATATAAAGATAAATTACGAACATCTATTAAAATTGGTTTTGGTAATCTATATGGTTTAATTATATTACCATTATTTTCATCATAATAACAAGAGAAATTTTCATCTTCAAATTTAGCACTATTAGAACAAGATTCTCTTAACCTTTCAGCAAGTTCAGAAGGTGAAATAGGTAAAGCTTTTCTGCAAGAAGTAAAAGATTTTTGTTTTGATTTACAAAAACGAAAAGAATTTTTTGAATTATTTGTAGGAGATTGAGATACAGTAATAGTATTATTACTACCAGCAGCAGCGGCGGCAGCAGCGGCAGCAGCAGCAGCTACCACATTAGTAGTAGAATTATTTGTAGGACTTTCAGAACGTTTACGAATTGATCCACTACTACCTTTTCTATATAATAATTTAGGAGATTTTGGAGGTTTTGGAGATTGAGGAGAAGGGGAAAGTTTAGGAGAAGAAGATTTTTGATGATGAAGATTATTATTATTTGAAAGAGATTTTTGAAATTTTAATAAAGTCATTGAAGAAGATTTACGAGCAGTAATTGTAGTACGTTGAAGAGCAGCAGTTAAAGCAGATATTGGTTTAAGAACGAATCTTTTTGTTGGACTTTGAGGAGCTTTAGGAGATTGTTGTTGTTGTTGTTGTTGTTCCAATAAATATGAATCAGATTTTGAAGGACTAACAGGAGAACGAGAAATTATAATAGAAGGAGTAGGAATTATAACTGGAGCGGGTAATTTTGATAAACGTCTTTTACGATAACCTGTAAGTTTAAAAGTGTTATCTAAAAAACCACCTCCTTTTTCCATTGTATTTAAGGGACCTTCACTTTCAAAAGTTTGACGTGTTAAACCTATTGTTGTTGACTGTTTCGTTGAAGTTGAATTCATAATAATTTTTTATTATGATATTATTATTATCTAATTTATTACGTATTTTTTCCGAATAGTCCAAGTTAATCATGTCATATAAAGTAAAAAATTCTATATTATAATTCGAAAAAAACAAAAATAGCAAAAACTTGTATAATTTAAGAAAATAAATTTATTTATAACTCATTTGACGTAAATAGTACGAAAAACATGTTACACAAGAAGCGAAGAACGTGCTCGGGTAATCGGGTTGGGTGATGCAAGAATCGTATTACCATGTGTTATATTTTAAGCTATTATGATACTAATCATATTTATACATGAATTATAAAATAAAAATAACGACCAATTAAATTAATGAGAAATTATTAAAGAAATTAAAAAAACTCCCTAAAATAAAAGAAACCTTTTTTTACTATGGGAAAAATTTGAACCTGTTTTAAAACATGTAAAAAAAAAAAAAAAAAAAAAAAAAAAAGATTTTTTATAAAAGATCTTGCATATTCAATAACATCGGTAGATTATAAAGACAATTTTGGTCATTTGACAGATGCCATTATTAAAAAAAATGGGGAAATTATTTAGTTAAAATTTAGTAAAAACCTAGTGAAAAGGGCGTTCAAACTAAGCAGCCCAAAAATACTTGTTTAAATAATAACTAAAAATAACTCAAAACCCATACAACAATAAGAATGCCACAATTTGCCAAGTTTTTTTTAATAAAATAATAAAAAAAATTTTTTTTTTTTTTTTTTTTTTTTTTTTTTGATCGATAGTACTATATGATATTAAGTATACTTTCATGGTTGTTCTATTTAATTAGTAAACTTGACTCTTTTAGATCTGTGCATTCATTCCTTTAAGGGAGACTTTCACAATATTTCCAATCAAAAAGGTCATTTTCCGCAAGAAAATTGAATGAAGCTTTATTGCTTAGACTTACAAATAATAAACATTAAATTTTACATGTTTGAATTTTATTGGAAGTTTACACGTTATAAAACTTGTCTTTCTTTTACTTTCCGTTGAGGATAATTTTAGTCATTATTTTTATACTTAATGTTTACTATTTATAATTTTAGAGTTGAAAGGGGAAATTAATTAAATTTTCTCTTTATATTACAGATTACGAATGCTACATTGCAGATTTGAAATAATAAATAATAATTACAATAATACAATGAACAGATAAATATAATATATATAATAATAATAATAAACATGTATAACGTTAAAATATGTAAAATATGCATGAAACTTGTCCATATTTTAATTTTAGGTTAGGTTTTCCGTAATTATTATAATCGATATAATTAGAGTTTTATGTTATGTTTTTATGTATTTTACGTAATTTATATAATTTATGGTTTAAAAATAGTTTTTTTTTTTNAAAACTCCCTAAAATAAAAGAAACCTTTTTTTACTATGGGAAAAATTTGAACCTGTTTTAAAACATGTAAAAAAAAAAAAAAAAAAAAAAAAAAAAATTTTTTTTTTTTTTTTTTTTTTCTTTCTCATAATAATAACAAAGCTTTTTTCAGATAATTGATTTGACAAATTAAAAGGCTTAGTAAACTTGACTCTTTTAGATCTGTGCATTCATTCCTTTAAGGGAGACTTTCACAATATTTCCAATCAAAAAGGTCATTTTCCGCAAGAAAATTGAATGAAGCTTTATTGCTTAGACTTACAAATAATAAACATTAAATTTTACATGTTTGAATTTTATTGGAAGTTTACACGTTATAAAACTTGTCTTTCTTTTACTTTCCGTTGAGGATAATTTTAGTCATTATTTTTATACTTAATGTTTACTATTTATAATTTTAGAGTTGAAAGGGGAAATTAATTAAATTTTCTCTTTATATTACAGATTACGAATGCTACATTGCAGATTTGAAATAATAAATAATAATTACAATAATACAATGAACAGATAAATATAATATATATAATAATAATAATAAACATGTATAACGTTAAAATATGTAAAATATGCATGAAACTTGTCCATATTTTAATTTTAGGTTAGGTTTTCCGTAATTATTATAATCGATATAATTAGAGTTTTATGTTATGTTTTTATGTATTTTACGTAATTTATATAATTTATGGTTTAAAAATAGTTTTTTTTTTTATAATAATAAATATTAAAAATAATTTAAATCATATTCGGAAAACTCCAGTGAATCGGAATAATAATTAAAAATACTTTTTAATTGTCATCAATGCATTATATGTTTCAAAATTTTTTTTGGTCCATAATTTTGTTCTTTGATATTCAGAATAAATTTCTGGTAGATCTTTTTTCAAATTATATACGTTTTAATATTAGTAATTACGTGTTATAATGTGTTATAACGAAATTATTTGATCTTTTGGGGTTCTCAATTTATTCAAAAAGTCCTTTATGACCTTTGGCTTAAACCCTCGAGTTTTTATTTTTACGCCCTATTTTATCTTATCTGATTTAACCATATAGGATTGACAAGAAATCCTACATTTACTAATTTAGTTCATAATCTTTTATGCTTACCTTTTTTAGAATTGCGTCACTCTTTTTACTCTTTTTGCACTACCCCAATTTTCATAAAATTTATCTTCAAATCAAGAGAAGAAGGGAAACTTTGGTTAAATATGATAATATAATGTATTATTATATTTGATCTCTCTCGCATAATTATTTTTATCAACATTTAATAACGTGTTTTAAATATAATGTGTATTTTATTACTATTTGAGGAAATGATTTCCTTTTTTTCTTCAAAAATAGATAAACAATTCTGGGAATGCACTAACATGATCATTTAATTTATAACAACATGTAGTTATTCCCGAAAATAGTAGAAAATTTCTATAATCGAAATTTCTAATTTTGAATTTTTTTATTTTTTGATAATCTTTTTTAACAAAAATGCCAACGATCGGACATCGGGGTAAATAAAAATGTTTCAATATTACTATACTAATTTTTTGAATTTTTCCTTTCTTGTTTGAGAAGGACTACAAAAATTTTGAAACATTGTCAACATTGATATACTATTGATACCGAGATAATAATGTGACAATGTTTTTTTTTGTGTGATGTTTTTTGTGTGTGTGTTATAGTCCGTGTGTAATGTATGTGTAATGTATGAAAACATTGTGAATTATTTTGTATAAAATTTTGTATATACATTTTATATATGACGAAATGAGGCTAAATTCGATATTTTTCGCCAATTTAAAGTTTATGATATGATAATGAGTAAAATTTTGATAATATATATAATTATATATAATGATAATTATTTTCACATAGTACCTGCTATGGTCCTAACTGTTTCGATTAGTGAGTGATCTAATGATGATTGATAATTTAAAATAATTTAATTTTTTATCTTCTTCCGATCAATATCAAGAATATTCATATGCAAAAAACAACTAAATATTTATCTAATTACTTCTTTTCTTTTTAAATAATAGGTTGATCATTATTTTAAACTCTTTTTTTCTTTCCCGTGTTTATCATTTAATTGAACAAGACATGAGAAAATTTGAATTTTATTTCCTTTTAAATTTTTTCTAATAAAACTATATTCCCACGTATTTATTATTATTACATTGTTCAGATTAGAATGGTAAAAAAAAAAAAAAAACTTTTGATCATCTTTACTCTAATAACGCTACATTTTGAATAGGGGTATCGGGTCATTACCCGGTATTAACCGTAATTATAAAGTGAATAAAAAATTTTTGACGCTGAGTAAAAAATTTGAAATTCAAGGTATTTCCTACTTTTAGGGGACTTTTGTTGGGGAGTTTATAACTTATATCGGGATTAGGGAATTGTTGTGAAGTTTATTGAGTTTATCAACTTTTGAACTTTTTGAATTTTTTGAACTTTTTTGAATTTTTGAACTTTTTTTGAACTTTTTGAATTTTTGAATTTTTGAACTTTTGTTAACGCTACTTCGTTCATCATAGTCTGATCTTTTGATAATTGAACCTTTGATTTATCAAAGTCTTGGTTTACACAGTGAAATTCCATTAGTAACATTTGTCAAAATTCCGTTATATGTTATATCGATTATAGATTATGATAATCTGTTCCACCGATATATCAAGACTTTACTTATGTTCCGTTATATTGCTATTTTGACTACGTAAATTTCAAACACCTGACTGTAAATTACTGCGACTACTGCGCAAATTTCAAATTCAACAATTATGGACATTGCGCTATAGACCTTTTTTTTTCGGAGACCATTTATTTTGGGGAAGGGTGCAGATTGAGGTGTTAATTAAAATATAATTAAAATATAGTTAAAATATACATAATTTAAATATAATTAAAATATAATTAAAATATACATAAATAACATAATTATAAAATATACACAATTATACATAATTGCTAAATCTCATAATATACATATTTGAACAAGGTATTTCGTTACAAGGAATTTCGTATTATAAGTGTCTATAGTTGACATTAAAGGTACTGGTGTTTCATCTCGGAGACCGGAGTATATTTAGTATCGTGGGATCAGCACCCCAACATTATAAACATTGTTTCATTATACTAAAGGAGATTTTTTAAGTTTCAAAGATGATACCATCAATGTTCCTTAGTCGTTCCTGAGTGAACTTGTCTAATTAATCAATTGAATACCTTATAAAGTGAAACAAAGTATAATTTATATTGTTGAATTTAAAAAAAGAAATTGTTATTACAAAAAAATTGCTTGTTTTTGTTCATCAGTTTTATAAAAAAAAAAATCTCCTGTTTCCAATTTTTTATAACTTTTTATTATAATATAAATCATCAAGTTTTGAAATACAAAATAAAAACAAAGTTTTAATTATTAAAATTATCAAAATTTAGAAATCAATTATCAAAATTATAAATAAAGTTCAAGCCTTTTTTTTAATTATTGATAATTAATTAGGATATATATATACATTTATATACTGTATACTGTAAGTCTGTAACTAATAATAATAAAATTATAATAATAGAATTAATTCTTATTATTATCCCCTTTAAACTTTTTTAACGAAAAATCAATAATATCTATTTATAACCTGAAAGATTTCTTTTAACGATCTGAGTCATGTGATTTTTTTTTTTTTTTTGTCTGAATACGTTTAATACGTTTATGGCCAGAAAAAGATTATGAATTTATGTCCCAACCATTTTTGGTCTTTTTTTTTTTTTTATTTGTAAACCATTTTTAATAAAAATTAGGTTCCACAAGAGAATTTTTTTTTTTTTTGTAATTATGAATCCCATAGAAAATATTTCCGAGGTCTCACTTCGTTCACAATTTAAGAAACTCGTTGCTTAATGCGGGTAAGAGATCTTGTATTACCAATACGATTTAACTCACAATTCGTTGCTTAATGCGGGTAAAACATCTTGTATCACCAGCACGATTTTTTTGCGCCAAACTTCGTGTGCTGCCAACACGTCTAATAGATTTATTCTTTGTTTGGATCGATGATAAGTACTTGTATTATCACTAGATGGTAAATTGTATTAATTTTGATAAAACCAATTATAAATTCTATGTATTAATATTTAGAATTCTATAAATAATTAAATATACAAAATTAAACTCGTATTCCAAAAAAAAAAAAAATGCCAAGAATATACAAATTGATATCTTAAATTGTTAAACATTATAAATCAATATATATATATATATATATATCATTAAAAATTGTTTTTATATTGTCTAATAAGCATTATATACTATATAAAAATTTTTCAGGGTCAATATTTATATTTATATCTGAAAGTCTATTTTAAATCAAATTTGAAAAATTGACATCTGAAAAAAAATCGTTCAAATAATCAAATAATCATTATAAGGAATTCTTTAAAATAATAAAGAATTTTATTTATTTTATTTAATTGATTAATAATGGAAGTAAAATGTAAAAGTTTTTTTTTTTTTTATTCTAATAATTATAATTTTTATCATTTTTCTTTTTATTCCTTTTTTTCTTTAATCAATTCAATTAATTATAATTTTTTTGTTTTTTAATAAATAATTTTAATATAAATTCACTGTTTTCACATGTAGATAATCAATTTTAACAATCACAACAATTCTATACAACTATTTTTTACGGCCTTTATTCTTTTTCCCTATACAACATTTGTTTTTTTCTTTAACCCGACTTTAATCTTTTTTTTTTTATAATCTTCACATCCACAATTTTCTCTTCTTCTTTAAAACAATGGCGACATTTTACAAAAAAAATGGTAAATGTATTGAAAGAAAAAATAACGGTTTCAACGATACTATTACATGGATTCCAATGGCTCCAATATCTAATCAAAAGCGGAACAAAATAATCGCCCGGTGATGACACTATGATAGAAGACGTATGTACTGTATATCTGATTATCTCGATCTAATACAGATACTTAACTTAATAAACTTTAACTATTTCTAGAATTAGAAGAAAAGGATGGAAACAAAACATTTGTCATGTTATTGGCATACTTTATTATATGACTATAATAATACCAATAACGGTTTACCATATCAAAAAAGATGTAAAAAATTTTTAGAATTATTCCAATGGATAAATGATGCTAGAACCCAAGCTGCTTCTATTTTAAATTATTATGGGATGACTTAAATATGTAATTTGCTTAAATATCATCCCGAAATAAGGAACATTTGAATCTTGTGTTCATTGGGTATATAGAATGGGTATATAGAAGCAATTATTCCTTTAATGTTTTTTATTAAAAATGTACAACGGACAATGCTTCTAACAATGATACCTTACATGATTATCACTATGACAGGACAAATCCAAGAACGTACAGTTCTTATTCTTCAATATACAGCATGCAACCAAAAAAGTTGCCATCTTTGAAAATAATATTTTTTATATAATTAAACATTAAAATACTTTGTTCTTTGCATTCTATATATTTTTATTGATTTATTATCATTCTAAAATAAAGATTTTTGCAAAAAAAAAAAATTGTCTATTTGCTACAATACTTATAAATATATATTACACAAAATTTAAAATCTGACCTCAAAGGCTCAAGCAATTTTGGCTCGGTAAGTTGGCTCGGTAAGTTTAAGAAAAGGATTAAGAAACTCAAATAATTCTTTTGTTTCAGCAGGATTATTAACCCAGTGTAAATTTTTTTTTTTTGGACAATAATCTAACAATAAAATTATCATATTCAATTAACAAAAAAAAAAACATATCAAGAAGCAAGTATTTCTCTTCATATTATTGATTATAATATCGTAATTATAAAGTTAGTAGATATAACTGAACTACAAATAGCTAATATTAATATACTACGCAAAAAGTACTTTTATATAAAATAAATTTTTTACATCCCATCAACTCTATGGCATTTCCAAAATATTTAGCGGCCAATGAACCTTTGTGATATTCAACAAATGCTTTCATTCCACGTACTTCATGTTCATACTCAGACAAAACTTCTTGTGACGATTCGGGTAAATTATCAACGCTTAAATCCTCCAATTTCAAATCATGATCTCCGGTAAAAATGGGATAGCTTCCATCCCTTTATTAAATAGATCCTGTATTTTTCTTTGATGTTGATCCCATCTAGACACATATTCTTCAAAACTTTTATCTTTCGCATTATCTTCCATGTTCTTATCTTCATTAACTATTCCTTTAACGAGAACGTCACGATAAGAAAATATGTTAGTATAATCCACACTAAATTTTATTAACAATACCAAAATTCAAATTTCCATTTAATGACGTATCACCATCACTGTCAGATTCCACGGAGCTATCATTATGGTTAGTAATCAAGTGTTGGCTTAGTGTATCAAAGGAACTAAACCGCTAATTGCAAACTGGGCACTAAATATGAAAAAAAAAGATCAATTCGATTATTTCAGTCATCCTTGTAGCTTATAAAACAAAGTAACAGGTAATATATATATTTTTTTTGGGGGTCCTTACCTTAAATGGTCTTTGTCGAGCATGCTTATGCAAATGTCCTGCAAGATACAGTACAATAATAACTTAATATAATTTCTATAGGCTAGCAAAACAACAATGTATTTTTTATACCTTTTAATTCAATAATATCACTTTGACGATTCATGCAACCTTCCCACGGACATGTATAAAATGAGTCTACTGAATCAGGTTTGTCGTAAAAATTGATGATATGTTCATCGATATGAATTATAAGTTCCTCTCGAGTTTTAAAGCGACATGTTGTTGGATGAGCAACTGACCATTTGCAGACGAATGGCATTGGAACAATACTTTTGGACATGGTATTTTGATCATACAAATAAAACTGAAGATTCAATTTGATTAATGCTATTATTTATATAATTACAAGTTATACAATCATGTGGCTCTATTATTTTTATACATAAAGGATAAAAGTCATTAAAATCATTAAATTTCAGATTTTAGTTTATAATTTGATTTTATGATCCAATTTACGATATAAAGTTTAATCAAAATTTTAAGATTTAACTGGATTATTTTACCAAATCAGATTTCAATTCAATTACATATTTATTATAATGATGATTATTATTGTATATACCAATTAAATTTTTAATTGTTAGTTATATACTAAACTATGAAGGATGAAAAGATTATATTATTTGACATACAATATATACATTTATAAACAAATTATTATCAAAATATATATTGATTTATATAATGCTCAATCTTTAATGACTATTTGAATATTAAATCCCCTGTCGCACTAAGTGTCACTCATGATCACCTTCATACTAATTTTTAAAAATTGCGAGTGATTATCTGAGTTTATAAATGACCGGGAATCTTCGTTTAGTTATTTCCTGGTCTCATATAGATAGCCGGGAAATTACTAATTTTAGTTTAAAATAGTTAACATAGTTAATATTTAATGAGTGACACGCTCCAGGAGATTACCCATTTATTTCATGGGAAGGGGAACATTAGGGTTTTTTTCCCTTCGGGAAAAAAAACCCTATTATTCCCAACTCCCCATGAAATAAATAATACTAATGTCAACATATCCCAACATTAACTCTAATCCGATTTCAATTTGATATTCTGGATAGAATAAAATGGTCGTCAGTTTATGCATAGAAGAGTCAGAAATAAATTAACAATATTGGCCTTAGTAAAACTCACCGAAAGTATGTTCCCCGACTAATAAGGTCCTCGAAATTTCTGAATAAAAAAGAGATTAGCTTTACAAGCTATGAATCACTCCCTTGCAAATGCACAGTCACAGTCCTTAATTGTGAAGTTATTTTTCGTCAACACTTTTTAAACTGCGATAGGTTCATGCTCGGAGAAAATAGCACGACGGCTTGGGGTCGGAATAAGAAAAAAAAAGTTGTATACGTAAAATCTTACATCAGAGAAACTTAATTACACCAGATTATCGTTATGACATAATTTAAAATTAATTTTATTGGCTACTAATTGTTGTTGTACAACCGAAGAATTAATAAATACCTCATGAATGCAATCTGAGTAACGATAAAATCGTATGAATCACTTTTTTTCGCTTGCCGATAAATAAACTGTTTTTTTTACTATGCTTATATCATTATATAAACTTTTTTTTTTACTATTATATCATTATATTATATTTCGTGTCACCAATTAAGAGTTTATAAAGTCATTTTTATAATTAATCCCGATGTATATAAAGTATATACTGTATATACCTTAGACTTCTCTCAAACTTTCTCATTTCTTAAGCAAATTATCTGCTCAAATTTTTTCTAAAAAAAAACTAATCGCTTTTACAGAAACAAAATGATGTTGTCGCTTAATTGTTTGATTCTAGGACAAGCTTCCAAAAAAAGTCTCACTGAAAATATTGGCGAAACATATGAAGATGATAGTGGTGTTGTAATCGAATTTTCTAAATTTACAGTTTGTAACTTCAAAGAGAAGCTCTTCCGTAGAGAAGAAGTAAAAGTTATAGTTCAAAATACTGGTAAAATGGATCTTTGGAAAGTTGACGGCAAGAAAGTTAATGAAGAAGAAAACAATCTTAAAGAATTTACTGAAAGTGACATCAAAGATAAACTCGGAGGCGAAAAGATGATCCCTCAATTCCCGCTTGAAGATTATTTTAAGGCTAAGGAAACTAATATACGGGACATCCATGTCTTCATTGTTTCCACCTCCACTGGTAAGTGTCTCCCAACGCTTTACCTCTCGAACAAGAAATTTGCAGTAACAAAATATTGATTTGGTCTGACGCACGAATTTCTGTTATTTATTTAATATCGGATATTCCAGATTATTACCCACCAAAAAAGCGCCGTAGAATAATCAAAGGTATGTTATAACAATTTTAAGCGCCTATCTTTTGTGCTGAACACAATGCTAATCTTCACTTTCCAGCTCAGGATGTGCCGAGTATGACATGGAAAGAACAATCAGAGGGTAAGCTTTTCCTTAAAAGCTTGTTAATCAATTAATTACTATTTTTATTAACATATATTGTACAATAAAGCATTCAAAAGCGGTTTAAATGAACCTCCCATAATAATCGACAATGGAGTCTATTCTCTAGACGAATCAGAATTTAAAAAGTTTGTGACTTCGGGTACTTTCGTCGATAAATCTCTTTTTATAATGGAATTCATGATCTTTGGACAACGGGCCAATCTGGTTACTCGCCCTCGTCGGTTCAGAAAATCAACCAATCTTTCGATGCTTGAAACTTTCCTTTCAACGGATTATCCTCCATTAAATTATATACCAGATTTAAAAACATCGTTGTTTGGGAAATTAAAAGTTGCTAAATTCGAATGGTTTGCGAAGTTGAACTACAAACAGTGGCCCGTAATTCACATTAGCTTCAAGGTAAGCAAGCCTGGTGTAACCTACTATTACATAAATAGCTAACAAGACTTACTTTTACTAGGATCTTGGAAGTGAATCCTGGGAACTAATGCTGGGCAAAATAAAGGAAAGAATTTCAGATCTATACGGAAAACATCAATACCTTATTGACATTCTTCCAGAGTATAATAAAAAAGATTTTGTGGCAGTACTCGATAGAGAAACAACAGGGGTGGCACTTTGGTCAAATGCTCTTTCTTGTTTAGCACGTTATCTTAACGAGTGCTTTGGCAAGAGTTCCGTTATTCTAATCGACGAATACGACTGGCCTATGGAAAATTCAAGAGGATTTTATGATAAATCTGACGATTTTTTTAGAACAATGTACTCAAGTATAGCTAAGGTAAGCATATGTATTGTAATTAACTGATTGCATACATGCTTGTTAAAACTATAAAATTTCTATGCAGGAAAATAGGAACGTGGATAAGATCCTGTTTGTTGGGACTTTCCCACTAAGACAATCAAGCTTTCTTTCCGGATTAAACAATGTAGTGGCCTATCCAATGCATGAAAGACCAAACCATTCTGGCCGTGCTATTTTTTCTGATACATTTGGATTCACCGAAGAGGAAATTAAGCATTTGCTAGAAAAAAAACATCAAAATAAAAAACTTAAAGAGCTACGCCTTTACTATAATGGATACCGAACGAGCACTGGAGTTCACATTTATAACCCACATTCAGTAATATCGTGTCTAGAGAAAAATGAAATTGATAATTATTGGATCAATAGCGGTTCTGCAACCACATTTGTAGAAATCCTAAAAAAGTGCGAGTCAGGAGTCAAAGATCGGCTCCATAATATAATCTATTCCCATTTCTTCTGTCAGGATCAAGATGTGATTGAGTCTGTAGGCCAAGATGAGTCTGTAGTAAGTCTAGATGTGGTTTTAGTGCCATATCTCCGATACAATGACCTTACGAAGCCAGAGATAAACTCATTATGTACTTTATTATACTATAGTGGTTACTTGACTATGGTTCCAGGATCTTATATTATGTGAAATGTTAAACTAGTAATCCCAAATAGAGAGGTAGCATGCCAATGGATTTTGTGGATTTTTGAGGTTATCGGTATGGAATATACGAAGACAAATGAAATATACGAATCATTGTTTAAAAAAGATATTGTTACATTTTGTAACAAATTTCCATTGCTCTATATGGAGTTAATGTCTTGTTTTGATATTGCTGGTCTCAAAAAAGGTAAATTACATGAAACCTGGTACCATATATTTGTTCTCGGAACACTCGCTATGTATCATGGCGTTGAATACCGGGTTGAATCTAATCGCGAAGCTGGGGATGGCCGTCCAGATGTCCGAATCATTCCAATTAACCAAAATAAAACCGATAGCATAACGTATGAATTTAAGCGTACTGAAAATGAAGACTCCGATATAATGAAACATGCCACCAAAGTAGCACTAGATCAAATTTTTGACAAGTGTTACCGGATGAGTCTTCCAAATCATGTTAAGGAAATAGTTGAAGTTGGCATAGCCTTCTGTGATAAAGTAGCTTTTGTCTCAGCCCGTTGCCTAAAACGTAAGAAAGAAATAATTACAAAGAATGAAGATTGGGAAGTTGTTAGTGAATGGGAAACTGGAAAGGTGGAATAATGAAAAAGTAGGAACCATTATCACATTGCATTACTGCGTCTGTCAAATTAGTCGTTTACATACTAATTTTTATATAGTTTATTGCAAATTGTGCACTTCATTAATTAATTATATTACTCATTTTTTAGTTAGTAAAGTTGTAAATTAGCATTTATTGAAAATTGTAACAATCAAATAAAAATTAGCAGAGATAGAAGATAAAACAATACTTCTGACTCGCTACCTTTATATTTTTGCATTCACTCAGTCACATTTACAGTGAACATCTTTGATCACAATTTCCTCTTTTTTAATGCACGTAAAACTGAGTATATGCAGACAATTGCTTGTTTTCTCATCTAACTAATGTTACGGCACATTTATTTTTTTAATTTCCGAATCGATAGAGTATGTAACTAGGTTATCCATTAAAACACGTACGTTGTCGCATTATTACATCATAGATGCAACCGTGAAGAATCTTCACGATAGAAAATCACGTGAGTATTCGGGTCAAAAATTCAGAATTAATAAAACGTTTCTTAAGCATCCACATCTCCATCTTTTTTTTTACAGCAAATAAGAGCTTTGACAACTTGAACAAGGTTTCCTTTCACTGTCTAGCGTACGTTCTATGAAGTACCATTTTCCGTATCTGTCACAATCCTATACTTTAACCATATCGGCTTGATCGGCACGTTTTTTCATAACCTAAAATAATCACGTGTGCCTCCGTTCCAATTTATTTACCCCAGTATCACCCCATGTGATTTAAATTTTTGGCCAAAACTAACCAGCCAGAATTATAAAAATTATTTTTATTTTTTTTTTTTTACGAAAAAATTAAAAAAAATTAAATTTTCTTTATAAATAATTTTATAATTAATAATCACGTTTAATTATATTTAAGAAAATAAATTTATTATAAGTTCTTTAATTTTAAAATATACAAAAGCAAATTTAATATATTAATTTTTTTTTGAATTTTCTTTATATTTCGTATATACTATTATATTTAATTAAATTTTAAAAATTTGTTTTATAAAAAATTGTGAATTATTAATTTACATTACCTTGTAATTAAATGCTACACTCTTTTCAAGAAAATTTCAATTGAAAAATAATGTGTTATACGAATGATCTTTAAATGTCTGAAACATTGTTTGTCTTCGTTTATATAAAGTAATTTCAGACAGCATTTTTTCCAATGGTTTAAAATTATTTTTGATCCCTTTTGCCCATTTTAAATTTCTTTTGCTCTGTTGATCTATTCAAAAAAAATTTAATATAATTATCTAATTAAATAATAATAATTAATAATATTACCTTTAAGAATTTCAAGTACTTTTTCTGTTGTATCAACAAGTTGATTATATAATTCTTCATAAGCTTGTAAGTTATTGGCTTCAAATATATTATCACCTTCAAAATCTTCAAATCTTGTCATAAATATTCTGAAATTATCTATTTGTATTGGTAACATATTAAGAAAAGAATACTGATAATGACAGTAAACCTCATCAAAAAATTGAATAGCTACATTTCCCTTTTTTTGTATAAGATGTTTACAAATAAAAAATTGGCTAATAAAAAATGCTGGACAGCTATAAATTCAATAGTTAACATCAGTAAAATATGCACTATTATTAAGTATTCTTGTTGCAAGCTCCTTTCATTTTCTTTTGAATACTTTTCTCCAGTTAGCTTTTTTCCTTTTTACTACAAAAATTTGTTCAAATTTTTTTTTATTGTGTGGAACTACTTGTTCCATAATGACAAATATAACTAAATCTAAACATGAACAAAAAAATTTGTATAAAAAATCATGCTTTAACACCTTTCAGTATGCTTCAACAAACATATTGGTTTTAAAAATAGAAAGTTTATTACAAAACCATAAAAACCAACAATCTGAATTGTACCACTCATTTTACAAGTAAATCCAAAGCTAAGGTAAAGAATTTTGCTTACAAAAATTATAAATTTCTTCAACTGCCATCTTCCAAATAGAAGCTGAAAAAAGAAACTGCCCATCTATATATTATTGTATTTATGAAGGTAATCATTCATCATCTTCCATATTAATGGTCTTATTTTCTTTGAACAGAAAACTATTTTTTCTTTAGTTAGACTTGGACTAAATAATAATCAATAAAAGAAAATTGCTGCTGTGCTGTTGAGGTTTTTATTATTTGCTAGTTTTGCTTCTATTGCTTTTTTGACATGCCAAAGGCATAATTGTACTTTAATACCATTTCAGATAAAACGAGTAGCAAAAATTTGCGCAAAATCTTTATTGGTAATAAAAAAATCTGGTTTAAAACCACAAGTTTTTAATTGAACTAGAAAGTCAATTATAACTTCAGTTCATACACCATTACCACAATTTCCATTATTTTTAATGAATAAATAGGCTAATGGAACTCCAATTCCATTAACTTCAGCATGTACAATATAAAGTTCAAATTTTAAATTATTCGTATTATCTAAATTTATAAAAATAAAAGAAATTGTAAAATTTTAACAAATATTTTGAACAAAATAAGTAAATAAATATATTTATAAATACATATATAATATTTTTTTAAAGTTAATATAAATAATGTAATTTCTAATTAAAATTTTATCAGAATAATTACTTATATATAATGTCAACACCAATCTTACGAATTTTAAACTGGAAGTCTTGCAGTATATTTCATAATTTAGTTAAAAAGTTAAGTGCCTTGGGATTTTCTTTTTGAAATATAATTTGATATGATTTTTTTATAAGCCACTTTTCTGCAAAAATAAAAAAATCTTCATCTTGTTTATATTGAGTTTTTTTAAGCTCAACCTATCAAAAGTGGATTTGCTTTTGCCGGATATTTATATTTAAACCACAATCAACAAACCTTTTATATATTTCATGTGAAAGCGAATCAATATTGTCTAGTATAAAATTGTTTAACTGCTAGTGAAATTGTAATATTTGGTTATACTGGATGTAAAATATGATAAATTTCTATATCAGAAAAAGTGGAATTTTCATAAATAATTATTTTAACACACCTCTTATAAGCAAACCGTTCTATTGATCATTTATTATAATGTTTATTGCTATTGGAATTCTTATTTAATTTTTGTTTTAAACAATTTTTTTGGGAACAATAATAATAAAATGTTTCAGATTTTCTTTTTTTGATTCATATTTATAATGATATCTAAATTAATATATATAAAATACAAGTTAATAAATAAAAAAGAAATTTTTTATATAACATGTAGAAAAAAATGAACTTACACCTATGTATATTCATCTATATCAATTATTATAGAAACAATTTTACTTGTCCATTCTTTGAAATTACAATTACCTTTTAAAGTATTGATATTCGCAATATAAGAAAATTTAAATTCTAAATTTTCTTTGTTTTCTTAATTTTCATTATTTTTTTTATTGTCAAATGAATCTGCCAAAAAATCATGAAAATCATCAAACTTAATTATTATTTGATCATCATTTGTAATAATTTTGTTGATATGCTACCTTATTTTGAAGGTGACATGTATTGCAAGTACAATAGAATTTTCCATTAGTAGTAAATAAACTAGAGGGAAAATTATTTTCACAACCATTGCAATACTGCTGCTTGTTATTATTATTGTTGGTTACAAGAGGTTTTGGGTTCATTATAACCTATTATAGATTGGAAAATATAAAAAATCAATAAATAACACTATTAAAATAAATAATATATTAATATATATGGCTAAACAGATAAGAAAGTATATATTCTAACTATTACAAAATTTTCTATAAAACAAATATAGCAATACAATTAAACTATTATACAAAAAAAGTTTTTTTCTTTGTTTTAAAGAAAATTATTATTACTTCTTTTAACAATAATAAGCATATTATAAATTTCCTTTTTCTCTTAACTATACATTACCTTTTAACAATGTTTATTTCTTTTAATACAAAGAAAGAAATGGAATAAAAAAAATAATAGAGAATAAAGAAAGTAATATTTTAATCTAAACGCTAAAAGATAATGTGGCTGCAAAATTGTTTGTTTATTGTAGTACACACTATTGTAAATTGTGTGTTATTGATCAATATTTTAATGATAATTTTGGTTGGTTAATTCAGGCCAAAATTTCAGATTACGTGGGGATGGAAAAATTTTGTAGTGATACTAGGGAAGATTTCCAATTTGGAATGCAGATCACTTTTACCAATTATTAATACATGCAAAAAATAAATACAAATGTTCAGGACTCTGCCATCGATACATGACGTCTATATTAATATACATGATTATTTTTTTAAACAATAACCTTCTGCTCTAATCTTTTTTTATCAGATTCTTCATTTACACATTCCAGCTTATTCTTCAATAACCCAATGATGACCTCCATAATCTACTTCATGTTTTTATGCAAATCTTTTTTTTCTTCAATCCTTCCTTCAAAGCAGATTCTAAAAATCAAATATTGAAGAAATCCTTGATATTCCATCTGAGGTAAAGAGATTAAATAATACTACAAATATAAAAAATGAAATTGAAAAAACCATCTGAAAAGAAAAGAAAATCCAACTAAAACTCACAAAAAATTTGAAAAGAAACTAAAAGAAATACAAAGTATAAACCTAAAAAGAAATCCAAAAAAAAAACTAATTAAAAAACAAAGAAAATGAACTGGTTATTAATTGCTGTAAAGATCTGAAATTCTAAAAAACCTGAAACTTACTATTTATTAAAACATCAAAGAACCTACAAAAAAAAAAAATGGTTAATTAAACAAATAAATAAAGCTAAAAAAAAACTTACTGTATTAAAAGATCAAAGTTTGAAACATTAAAGATGATGTTTTGATAAATAAATAATATAAAACATTATGATAGTTATGACCAGGTTTTTATAATTAATAAATTTTTATATAAATTATCAGGTTAAATCACTTCAGATTAAAATTAGTTTTATATATTAATTAATATAATATTATAAATTTTAAATTTAATTTTACAATTCTTTTTATTTTCTAATTTAATATTTATTATATATATATATATATAATGAATTTATTTTTCATCTTAAATGGCTAGATAAGATTTAATATTTCTTATCTCTTAAATTATAAATGTCAAAAATAATATTTATAACTTTTTTTAAAATATTAATTGCTAATTTACCTAAGAACAGCACTATTTATTAATGATTTTATAATAAAATTCAAAGAAAAATTAAAAAATTTATTTTGCATTATTTTGTGATTCAGCAATTGGATTTTAATAATATTTTATAGCTCTCAGTATTCTTTTCAAAATAAAAAAAAAAAGATTTTTGAAATTAGACTAATACATCATAAAGTAAACACAAAAAATCATTTTTTAGAACATACTGTAGCATACAAAACACATCCAAAAAAATAGTTTTTTGCAATTATCTCATGATATATCAGTCCAATTTTAAAGCTTTTTTTTATTTTGAAAAGAGCATTGAAGGTTACAAAATAGTTAAAGGTTCATCAAAATTTAATCACTAAATTACAAGATAATCCAAAATAATACTTTTAATTTTTTGTCCTAAATTTAATTAGTAGTTGAATACTGATCTTAGGCAGATCAGCAATTAAGTAAATTTGTAAAGCAGGTAAAATTACTTATAAATTATAATTTTAAAGATTATATAAAGTTTATATTAAATTTTATTTTAAAAAATTTTTTTGTTAAAAATTACATTATTTCTTTTTTGAAAATGATCAGCAAATAATTAGTATAATATTATTTTTATATATTAAATTCAAGAGAATAGAAAATTATCTGAATGAGAAATAAATTTCATATTATATATATATATATATAATATTTTTATAAATTTAAATATAACTAAAAAAATAATTAATAAAAAGATAAAGTAAAATAAAAAAAATAAAATAATATATAAAAAAAAGATTTAATATTTTTTTATATATACAATATGTTATTCTGCAATTTTTATATAATAATTTGCTAATTTTTGCCAAATTTTTTAATTCTTAATTTTTTTAATTTCTTTACATTTTAATAAGGCCATTCCAAATTAATTTTTAGTTTAACATCCTTCCCTTCCCTCTATTTTTGAAATTTTAAAATAATTTAAACACATATGTTCACATATGTTTAAAACATCCCCTCTCTTTTCTGAAATTGAATGTACCAAATATTTCTGATTTTACCAAAAACTTCTGAAAATTTAATATGTTTAAATATCATGTTTGTTTAAATTATTCCCTCCTCCCCCCTTGAAATTTTTCAGCCAGAAAGGATATTAAACTAATTATTAATTTGGAATGGCCTAATTTTTAATACAATACTTTGTATTATACTATTAGATAAGTTTAATATATTGAATATTAATATATAAAAAAAAAATTTTTATTAAATTCAGTATAATAAAATTTTACAAGAAATTTACTAAAAGTATTAACTTTTTCTAATATATTTATATTATTTATTAAATAAAAATTAAAAATTTTTTAGGAAAACTTTTTAAATATTTTATATATATAACCAGAATTTAAAACTTTCATATATACTAATAATACTATATTGCTATATTTAATATAATTTAATTGGACTGTTGATATACTAATATATTTATAATTTTTTTATTATTTCATATATGACTTGATCCAATAGATCCTACAAAACAACAAGAATAGTAACAACAGTGATATGATTTGAGAAGAACCATTTGTTGAGATCATATTTGAATATTTTGTAATTTCAATATTCTAAATCATTTTGATAATCATAATCAATCTGCATAAAATACATATGCATAATATACATTAGTCCTGTTCATTGCATTTTCCGGTCATATGCAAGATAAACCGACAACAGAACAGACCGGAAATGAACTACACTACTTAATCTCTAATTTATGACAAATGGGTGATTTGGTTTAAATTTTATATTAGTGTTCTTATGATCATAATAACTTCAATGAATTAAAATTTGAAGTCATAGCT